TACTCATTTTTATTTACTATTGATATTATTATTGTTGTTGGTGTTATTATTATTATTCAGTCATGCTATTTAACATTATTTTTTAATCATTTTATTTTATTTTTCTTGTTACAAAAGTTTAAAGAAAATAGCGGGAGGTCTTTCACCATGTCTGTCCTATCACGCATTTCTTTTCTTTTCACTCAATAAAATAAAAAATAAATAAATAAATAAATAATATAAATATAAATAAATAATAAAAATAATCATTTAAATGTATTATCATTCCTAAACATGTTTGGTGACCAAACTCTTATTTTCGGGAATATCTGTTTAATAAAACTCTTTTGTGTAAATGTATGAAACATATGACGATTTTCAAGTTCAAAGTTCAAAAGTAAAAACATCATAATAAACAAAAACGGGGATAATATTTATTTATTTAGATATAGGCCCTCTATTATTATAAATAATCATATTTTCTGTATTTAATACCAAATTAATTACTGAATTAAGTGCACTGTACAAACATACAGCTCGTGCTGCTCTAATTGACTTAATGCGGATTTCACTTATTGTGTACATTTAAAAGACGCTCGTCATTCTGTCACCACGGCAACTTGAGTTGGCTTAAACATCCACACAACTGTCTCGATCGCGCTTCAAAACTCTTATCAAATCTCCTTTTGGCGAATTTCATCAGTTTGTCTACTTTTGGAAATTGTTTTGAAGCTGTTCATGATGACTCTGAGGCGCTCAAGAAGAACCAGAGCTGTCCCTGCTCACCTGAAGGGCTTCCTGCTGGAGCGCGTCTCTTCCCGTGAGGAGCCAGCAGCGGCGGCCAGGCCGGACACCTCCAGCTGCGTGTCGGACACTTCTCTGGAGGACAAACACCTGAGGAACGCGGCTGTCCTTCCTGTCCTGCGCCCCGTAGCCTCAGTCTCCACAGTGGGTGAGTGTCGGCAGGAGGAGCCGCTGTCCATCCACGGCCGGAGTGTGCAGGAGTACCAGCACATCTACCGCTGCGTGATGGACTCCACCATGAAGAAGCGGCGCCGTAGCAGATACAGCCTACAGCAAGGCTTGGAGATCAAGCAGCGGCTGTGGGAGAAGCTGGACCGGCCTGCACTGCTGGAGACAGAGATGCCTGACGGACGTGTGGTCATCACAGAGATCAGGTCAGGGTCCAGCCTCGCTCCCCATATCAAGGTAGACATCAGTAAAGAGCCGCTGCCAAAGGAGCCCAGAAGAAAGAAGGCCAGGCACTGAGCCACCCTAGTGCCAGATGGAGGATCAAGGGCACGTATGTACATATGTATATATTGTATATAGTTATAGAATAAGTTTGCAATGCATTCAAAAGGACTTTTCATTCATGCTTTCATCACATTGCTGGATATTTTGGTGATTGTCGGTGCTGTTGATTCGGCTCTTGGGTTCTTTTGGACGTTGACATGCGTTTAGCAAGGTTTTCTTGGCGGTTTCTTGCGTGTTGCTGGTCTCCTCTGAGTGGTTTTTTGGATCATTAGTGGTTGTTAGTGTTGGCTGTTGGGTTAGGGTAGGTTAGGGTCCCTCGCACGGTTTGCAGCTTGACGTGCTGTGAGGGCTTGTGTGCATCAGTGATGCTGAGAGCTATGCCACTGGTACTTCACAGCTACCGGTAGGGTCACCCATAGTGGACAGGTCTCAGCTGAGATGCCCGACCAAGACAAACCACCTGATTCTGGACAGCAGAAGATGGACTGATGCTCCAGACAGAAGATGTCACGTTCCTTCAAAATTCCACACACACACACACACACACACACACACACACACACACACACACACACACACACACACACACACACACACACACACACACACACACACACACACACAATAAATAAGAAAAAAAGAATAAATCTTACCGACATTAATTAAATAATTACTGGTAAAAAAATATTTACCTTAATTTAAAGAATATTTAAAATTTTGGGAAAAAATATACTTTTTCAATATTTTAAAATAGGATTATATCATCAAACACGTAACACTGATGGTCCTTTGGTAAAATAAAAATTAGTGACCGCTGAACAGTTATTATTGGTCTTCCTGAATTGAATTGATGCAAATTATTGAGAAAATTCCATGTTTAATGATATAAAATTGACTCAGAAATGACCACCGAAAGAAGACTTCAGTTCATTATTGTAATAAATGTGAAAAGAAGCAAGTAAACATTTACAAAAATAATCTACAATACAAAGAAATTCATACAGATTTAAACGGCACAAAAGTGTGTAAATGATGACAAAATGATTTTGTGTGTGTGAATTATCTCTTTATTAAACAAAAGTTTATTGCACTTTTTTGCATTTTAATATGAAATTCAAAATGAAAATAATCCTGAAAATCAGAATGTAAATCTTCCAGTAGGTGGTCATAATGTCTATTGAGTGAGACGATTGGGTCAAACAACTGAATCATTCAACAAAGAAGTAAAGCGCTGTCTGGACTGTTTAAAACATTCAGAGTCATTCAGAAAGTAGAAACACACAAGATCTTATATGGCCTTTAAGGTAATGCTTTACACAATTATCAGTACTTTTTTCATTTTTAATACAAAAGGAAAATTTGACCTAATTTACAACATTCTCAAATCTGACTGCAGTGTTTATAATTATTGCAATACATTTTAAAAATCCAGTTTTCAGTGTCAAGAAGTCAGATTAACTGTTTTGTTAGAAATAACTGGAAATGGATTAGAATGGATTTAAAACACATCAGATTCCTCTAATGAATCATGCTCACTTAATTTCTCTAGATGAGATGCCTAAAGACATTTTCCTGGTGCATGATTGTTCATGAGGCATTTTTCCATTTTTACATTACATACATCCCCATTCATTACTATTTTCCTTTTTTACAGAGGGTGAAAGAACCTTTAATACCATTTTACCAATTAGTGATGGGAAGTTTGGGTCATTTTACTGACTTGGACCTTTGAGTCTTGTTCAGTGAGATAAATGAATCTTTTTTCAGGTCGCATGGTTATTTCGTTCAATTTGCCAAAATATTATTAAAATGATAAAATGAGTTGCTACCAAACTAATCTACAACTACATCAAATGTTGATCACACTACAAACAAGTCATAACTAGAACGAGAGAAAATAATCATTTATTGTAAACCTGGTCTTTCGTCTGTGATCATGTCAGCACAGGTGTCAGGAGAGGCGAGTTCGTTTCAATGGTTCGTATGGTTTGAGGCGTTCGTTCATCACGTGACCGCATTTAAAGGGAGAGAGGACTCATGAAATAACGGATCAAATCTTTTTCCAGCTCTAAATGCATACGTCTGGCTTCTGTCTTTCATGTGATCAACGAATGACTCAAACCCGATAGAGGACTCGAAAAAGGAGCTACTTCTAATCCACCTGCACAAAAATGCGAATTTGCAAACAAACAAATCCCTCCCTGAGAGGACGCATTGTGCTTGAGTCATACAAAAGATTTTTTTGTAAAATAACCCATCATTAATATAAATAAATCTGCTTACAACATTTTATTTCCTGAGCTTCAAGCTTTAGCCTGATAGCATCACTAGCCAGCTAAAGCTATGAGCTTCTTTCACTTACTGTCTTGGCTCTTCACCTTGTACAATGTCACTTGTGTGTTTTTCTTTGAGTGCAGGAGAAGCATCGGTTGGAGCTGGAAGCTGTGGAGAAACAGATCTGTGACCTCGAGATGAAACTAGTACAGCTCCGGGAACAACAAGCCTTGCTGGACGTCTCTCAGGCTGCTGCTCGCTCATCTGACGTAAGTGTGCGATACAATCTCAACACTTCTTCCACCTCAGCCCCGTGTGTTTCTTAGTCCAGGCCAAGCACACCGGGGAAGCGGCACGCCAAGATGTCGTTCACTCCGGCACCAGGCCATCGCGGGCCCCTGGGTGCAGTAGTGGTGGATACGAACCAGGACGTATGGCAGGGTCTCTCCTCTAGCACCACCTTCAGTATTTGAGATCCCTATACAGAGAACCCTCCATGCGACGTCACAATCATCAGCGATTCCATCGTTCGTCATGTCCGTGCTACTTCTGCTAAAGGTAATAGATGTATGCAATCACTGCTTTTCTGGTGCTTGTGTTAAGGATGTTTCTGCTAAGGTACCCGCAATCTTGAACGCTGGTGAGAACATAAGAGCTGTCGTCCTGCACATGAGGACAAACAACACAAGGCTAAGGCAGACAGAGATCCTGAACAAGGACTTCAAGAGACTGACTGAGACGGTCAGGCGCACTTCACCCTCTTATATATTTATATATTGCTTTCTGAGACGTGGAGCACAGAAGCTCCTGACAATCTGGATGTAACAAATAATATAATAACACTAATACTACAATGGTTAGGGCAATTTAGAATGACCAAAACAACATTTTAAATGTTATATAATGTGCTCAGCCTCCTAGTTTGTCCATTTACGCATGTTTTTAATCACATGATTTCTTACAATAAAATCACATGACTTTTTTTAATGCACATACTGAAATTTGCGCTGTAAAAGCATTTCCATCATAGTTTAAGCACATCTTTTCATATTGAATCCAAAATGCGCATAAAAATAGGTGGATGGAAACGTAGCTACAGATCTGTGACCTCGAGATGAGCTTTGGGAACGAGCCTTGCTTGACATCTCTCAGGCTGCTGCTCGCTTATCTGAGGTAAGTGTGCAATGCAATCTCAACACAGCGCTCCCTCACCCTCATTAGCATAGACCGCCCTGAATGAGAAGCAGCCGTCTGCCAATAGTTTTGAATCTGCCACTATGCTGACACATAGGCAATTATAGCTCCACCCTCTTTTGAAAAGAGGGATGGGAGCACAATCTCATTTAAATTTAAAGGGACAGTCACCAAAACAGCACAATTTGGACACGCTCTAGGGACATTAGAGACTTATTTTCATGTTGTTAAAAGGGGCATAATAGGTCTACTTTAAAACATGTTTAAACAGCAATTAAAGCACAAGACAAAAATACTAATATCTACATTATTCAGTGTTTATTTGCACCAATATTTATTATTATCACAAATATGTCTTCAAAATGCAGACTTGCATCTGTCTTTATATAAACTGTACATGAAGGCAAGGCACTATACAATGCAGAAAAGAAGGAGATTTTCTCTTTTTCCACAGTTTCATTCAATCCTGTTCGAAGAGACTCACGCGCCGTATATATTCACAAACACTCTCTCACGTACACACACGCATAGGGTTCAAGTTCAAGCATCTAGCTGGAAGGTTAAAATAATCTTTAGGCCATTCATGAGAGCAGGTTTGAACATACTTACATAAAGTGCTCCGTTGAGCTTTCTTACATTCACATAATCACTAAAAGGCATTTTTATTGGAGTTATTTCATGGGTGTTAATATCAAGATGGCCAGCAGTGTATTAGCGCTGCCTTGTGCATGTTGGACGGTGATACAGTATGTGGAGAAACGCAGATCTATGAAAATGGGAGCAAAACAAGCTGGGGAGCACTCAACACATTCAGAAAACAAATCTCTAATTCACTGATCAACAAACAAACAAAAAAATACAAAAAAGGAAGAAGAAAACAAGACAGAAATGTGCTACAAGAGGCTGGTAAACCCCTGCCAATCTGTGTTCTTTTTTCTTCCTCCAGCTTCTTTTCAGCTCCCCGTGTGATTTGACACAGGTTGATATTTTTACTTGCGTTTGTCTGTTCTGGTTCAAAAGGAATGAGAGCATTTTCTCTTTCAGATTCCTGGAGTTCCTTTAAAACAATCCTTTGGCTTTCTTCACATTCACTTGCTTCCATCCAGGCAGTGCCTCATATTCACTTCTCGTCATCTCCAAAGCTTTCTGTAAAGAGCATGAACACACACATATACATATATAGAGATTTTAATGGATTAAAAAAACATCACCCAGGGCTCTGAAGTGTTAGAAAAAGACAATGATTGATGACACACACACACACATACACCATTCACCAATACAAAAAAGTGATTATCTAATATTAAAGTATTAATGATATCAAATAGCAATGATGAAAATATTGGTTTTATATCATTTAGCAGCTGGTCTAAGATTTTTTTTAAAGGGAAATTATAGGTGTATATTGGGTAATGCTGCATTCTTATTTTACCTTATATTTACATCTTATTATATTGTTGTAACCCTCTACAGTAATACTTAATACAATTTCAATGTTAATAAAGATTAAGTCTGTTATCTCGATCAACTCTGTGTATCTCGACCCATTTAACCTTGTGTTTATGTTTTAGGTTATTTGACCAGTGTTATTTTAGCATCTTTATGCTATTATTGTAGTTGTTATTAATACATATTTTAAATTATTAAAATTAATGTGTTTTTAAAAAATTCTTTAGGCTATTTGTTTACAACAGGGGTTACAACAAACTCTGTCCTGGAGGGCCGGTGTCCTGCACATTTTAGTTCCAACTCCAATTAGACACAACTGAACTAGCTAAACTAGCTTTTTCCAGGTAAACTAGAAACCTCCAGGCAGGTGTGTTGAAGGAAGTTGGAGCTAAACTATGCAGGACACAGGACCGAGTTTGGACACCCCTGCTTTATAAAAAGGTCTATAAAGTTTTCATTCCTTTCAAATATCAGTTTTAGTTATTAGTTAAGTATTAAGTTAAGTATTAAATTAAGTATTTACTTCTTTAAAATTTCTTTTTTCAAGCAACTAAAGCGAATACTAATTTTTTGATTGACAATAGTAGGCCTATACAATTTTATTTTTCGCCATACATTGGTTTTGTCAACAAAATGAAGATCTATTTAGAAAAACTTATTACTATATCCTTAATATACCATCAGCCATGCCTAATTAAAAGGACATGTCATACACTACCATAAAAAATATAATAATAACCCTTAGGCTTTGTAAATGACCACAATAAGGCCCCGTTTACACAAATACGTTTTAGATTTAAAACGCTGTTTTAGAATGAAAACACTCCACGTCCACACTGTCGTTTTAACTAGTATTTCTGAACAGCTCTGCATCCACACAATACCGCTGAAAATGCACATCACGTGACCACACACACACACAGCATATGCTCACCTCTGAGCTCCAGGCAGTCAGAGAGTGCTTTAACCACAGGTCGGACAGTTCACCAATGATTTACCACTGGATTTTATCCTACCGTAGTTGTTAAGTGTAATATTTCATTCATAATTCTCTATTTAATGGTCTTTTGAATTTATAACTTTTTTTCAGGTAATGCGTTTTGGCTGAGCGCAAAGATAATTCATTATAGCCTATTCATTTACTTAACCACGCACACATATTCTGCATATTGACTTATTGCTTGCCTTTATTTTCTATATTGTATATACGTATTGTATGTTATACTATTATAATGGCCATTATTGATTATTAAAACTGATATTCAGCAAAAGAGAGGGCATGTTTCATATGTTCATTGAAAATTAAAGGAGGCAGTAATGTTATAGGCTCCATTTTGTTATAAATATGCATGCAGTGAAAATGACAATCATAAAAATATGCAGCTACACAATGCCTCAACATTTTTAGTATTTGTGAGTTAATATCAAAATGAAAATAGGCAGTTTCTTATATCATGTCTTCATTTTATTGTTAAGATGAGTGAAACAATGTAACGTAGACTAACCATGTTCCTTACACTATTTGCTATTTAGCGCACTCAAAGACCCCTCCTCCGTCATTAAAAGCAAGAAAAACATGTTTATGTGTTCATTCTCTGGGCGAACATTTATATTTTTTTGACTAGTATTTTTTGAGAAAAGATGGGAAAAGTACCGCCTTCGCATGTGTACGGAAGATGATAGGTATTAACAGTGTTCCCTACACGACTAAAATAGTGGTCCGTACAGGGTGCATAAATTCAATTCACTGGCAAAAATGGGCATTGTTTAAAGTCTCATTAAAATTTTATGTCAGATTGCTAATACTGTTTAACTTGAAGTTAATGATATATTTAATAACTTAAAAGTTTGAAATGAAATAGCTTCACAATCATTTAATTTTTATATCATGTTTATTTTATTACAGCATGACAATTTAAAATATTAAAACATTAAATTCATGCAAATTAACGCTAACTTGACTGACCTTTTATGAATATAAACATCATCACTGCACAAAGAGGATCCAAACAGCTTTTACAGCCTGTCTTTCAGGCTCTCTCTGGAGGAGAGTTGTGCCATGCGGTCGTCACACCACAACTGACGTAATTTGTTTAACAATTTGTGATAATATAATATTCCTTATACACTTCATATACACTTCATAAAGACTGTTATACTGTGTGATGCATAAATTAAATGCAAATGCATATTGTCGTTGCTTTAAATGTCTCACTTGCACTTTAAGTTTGCCCACTGTCTATTTTCAAGCGCATTAGGTGGACGTGAAAAACTTACTGAATTTACTCGGAAACATATAGTAGGAAGGTCTCTGTTGTGCTTGGGGTTGAAAGAGTGAGAAATATAGTTTACACAGATATTTAGCGTGCCTACGACCTGTAAGTATTCTTTTAGAGATTAGCGTTAAAAGGTAATCTGTACAAAACATCGTTGTGTACGTAATATGGTTAGTCTACGTTTGCCAAGGTGATGTGAATGACGTTTTAAAGACTGTTTTTACCCTATGTGTCCTCGGGAGTTTGTTTTCATATCAAACTTGAAGTCTGAACTTAAGGAAAGTGTACTTAATATTAAGGAAAAAGCTCAAATCTTTGTTTTCAGACGTCTTCGTTTCCCCCCATCCATACTGACACGGAGCAGCAGTGTTTTAAAACCAAAATGGCCTCTCTAGCATTTTCAAAACACTCCGTTTTAAGGACTTCAAAACTCAGGTGTAGTGTGGACAGAAGACGTAACTATAGCAAATAGTATGCATTTTAAAACTAAAACTTATTACTGTAAACGGGGCCTTAATCTCACCAAAGCTGAATTTATTTGATCAAAACTACAATAAAAAAGTAAAAACATCCTATATCATTAAAAAACTAAATTCTGAAAAACAAATCTATGGTAGCTGAGTTCAATTTGAGCAGCTATTACTCCAGTATCATGATCCTTCATAAATCACAGTTGAGTATGGCTTTTAAAATATACAATTCAGAAATTTCAAAAATGTCTTTTGATCAATCTAATGCATGCTTGCTGACTAAAATAATATATTTATGTGTAAAAAAAACACTTAAATGATTCAAAACTGTTAAATCTATAGTGCATATTTATCAGCAAATAAAACACCAAATAAAATTTTCACCCCATGCGTGAGACATATCAGTGGTGAACGATGACCCAAACAATGCTAGATACTATGCAGTTTGTGCCAAAGCATGTAGTGATGTGCTTCACACAGTGAGGATGCAGCATTAGTGGGAAAACACCAGTGTTCCTCAGAAAACAAAACTCACCTTCCCAGAAGCCCCTACACCCTGGCATGTGAAGGGAAAAATTAACCTCAGTCAGACGCAAGACTATACCAGCAAAAAGGGGGAGAAGCAGAAAGATGCAGGGAGAGACAGGTTAAGAGAGGCTGCTTTAAAGATGACATAGTGGAGGCAGAAAGGAGAAATATGAAGATGATGACAGGGAAAAAAGGCAAAAGTAGAATGGAAAAAAGTAGATAGTACTGAAATGACAGAACATATGAGCACACACAGGAAGACTGAAGTTGCAGCTACAATAATACATACTGTATACTCTCACTGGCCACTTTATTAGGTATACCTAATATACTTATGAACTGAACCCCATTTTTACCTTCAGAACACATGATATGACATGATAGCATCACGCAGTTGCTGCAGATTTGTCAGCTGCAAATCTATGATGCAAATCCCCAGTTCCACCACATCCCAAAGGTGCTTTATTGGATTGAGGATCTGGTGACTGTAGAGGCCATTTGAGTACAGTGAACTCATTGTCCTTTTCAAGAAACCAGTCTGAGATGATTGGTGCTTTATGACATGGCGTGTTATCCTGCTGGAAGTAGCCATCAGAAGATGGGTACACTGTGCTCATGAAGGGACATGGTCAGCAACAATACTCCGGTAGGCTGGGGCGTTGACACGATGCTCAATTGGTACCAATGGGCCCAATGTGTGCCAAAAAATATCCCCTGCACTATTACACCACCAACACAATTTGCCTGAACTGTTGATACAAGGCAGGATCCATGCTTTCATGTTGTTGATGGCAAATTCTGACCCTACCATCTGACTGTTGCAGCAGAAATCGAGACTTATCAGGAGAGGCAACGTTTTTACAATCTTCTATTGTTCAATTTTGATGAGTCTGTGCAAATTGTAGCCTCAGTATCCTGTTCTTAGCTGACAGGAGTGGCACCCGGTGTGGTCTTCTGTTGCTGTAACGAGTTGTAACGAGTGGTTATTTGAGTTACTGTTGCCTTTCTATCAGCTCGAACCAGTCCGGCCATTCTTCAATGACCTCTGGCACCAAGAAGGCATTTGTGCCCACAGAACTGCCGCTCACTGGATATTTTCTTATTTTGGACCAAACTCTGTAAACCCTAAAGATGGTTGTGCGTGAAAATCCAAGTAGATCAGCAGTTTCTGAAATACTAACAGCCATGCCATGTTCAAAATCACTTAAATCCCCTTTCTTCCCCATTCTGAAGCTTGGTTTGAACTGCAGCAGATCGTCTTGACCATGTCCACATGCATTGAGTTGCTGCCATGTGATTGGCTGATTAGAATTTAGCCTTATCGAGCAGTTAGACAGGTGTACCTAATAAAGAGGTCAGTGAGTGTATACTCATGAATGTGAATGTACAGTTAGGGGTATGCAAAAATTGTCTTTTATTATGCCATATTTGTTTTAATAATGTGCATTCTGGTATTATTGATTGTCACTAATAAACAAAATGCATTTTGACAGCCCAAAAACACTGATTGTGTGATTAAACGTGTTAGGATAAACATACAATTCAAATTTACAAAAGTCAAAATTTCCTTGTGAAAACATACAAGAGTGCAATTTCCCCTAAATATATGCAATTAAGTGCAATCATAATTGTACAACTGATTTTAAAAAAGGCTATTTTTTTTTAGATTGTAATTATATAACCATTAATACAGCACATGTCTCAGAGCAACATTCAATGTTTCATTACTGAATTAATCCCTTTTTGAGAAAATCAGGTGAATGATTCAATAATTCATTAATAAAGTTAATGAAAATTAAGTACACAAAATGACAAATCATTTACTTATAATCGAATCAGCCAATTGAAAGAACCATTTAAATGAATGATTCAATGGATGACAGGGATTTTCCACAATCTACTGGCATTTAAAGTATTATATTTTTATCGATGCATACCTAAACTAGAAGCACTAGCACAGAACACACTAAGAAAAACATTGTTCAATTATCATTACAGTGGTCCCTCGCTATAATGTGGTTCACTTTTCACAGCCTTGCAGTTTCACCAAATTTTTTCGTGCAATTTGACATGCTTTTTTTTTTTTTTGTACAGCACTGTGTTCTGCATCCTAATTAGCACATTGTGTTCTGCATCCTGATTGGCTGTGGACCATTGTCAATCAATCTCCTCCATGGAGTGTCTCATGTACAGTACAGAATCTGTTCAGCTTGCCAAATGTACATACATCTTCGATCGCTAGCAGTGTGACTGAAGTGCCTTTATGTTTGCAAGTTTTCTCCCTACAATTGTCATTGTCAAAGGCACCTGCAGTAGCACCCAAAAGGCAGAGGAAGTTGCTAACCATCACACAAAAAGCTGAACTTCTGGACTTGCTAAAGGAAGGTAGAAGTTATGCGGCTGTAGGGTGCCATTACGGAATAAATAAATGAAGATCAAATGGTTTTTGGTTTTATTCTATAATAGTGGACTTATTTTTCTTGGAAGGTTTGAACTTTGAATGTGTTTAAATGAGAGAAAAGTGTGAAAATGTTAAAGGTTGTGAGAGAAAAGTGTATAAAGCAGGCATGTCCAAACTCGGTCCTGGAGGGCCGGTGTCCAGCAAAGTTTAGTTCCAACCCCAATCAGACACACCTGGGCTTGCTAATCAAGCTCTTACTAGGCTTTCTAAAAACATCCCTGGAGGTGTTTTGAGGCAAGTTGGAGCTAAAATCAGCAGGACACCGGCCCTCCAGGACTGAGATTAGACACCCCTGGTATAAAGTGTGCAGTGAAGGGTTTTACAGCCTTAAAACAATATAATAATTGTAAAAAATAAAGCGGACTACTTTGTGGATTTCACCTATTGTAGTTATTGTTAAAACGTATCTCCAGCGGATAACAAGGAACCACTGTATAGAAACAAAAGTTCCTTCATAATACTTTTATATAATACAATATATCGCACACCCCCTCTGTCCAGTGTGTGACAACTTCACTATAGTTAAATGATTCATCCAGAAGAGTTAAGTCTGGCTTACTTGCTTACCTTTGAAAATAACTAATAAAGTTGAAACACTATTGTTTTGATCAAATAAGGGGTTGTGAAAACATGTTAATGTAATTTTTCTCACCTCAAAGTCCTCATCTGATAAGTAGGTTTCAAGACGTAGAGGGTCGACACCTTCCGGTAAGGGACGTGCTTTTAGTTCAGCCAGTGGGTAAGTGGTCTTGCAGAGTCGGCTCAAGACATCTTCAACAAGAATGATCTGATGACATACTTCGGCCTCCTGTAAAGTCAGACAAAAAAGATTTCAGAAAAGAGAATTAGTGTCTAACTTGAGGACACCTTAACCTGAGCATGAGAACTACTAATAAAGATTCATATTCTTAAAACTTAAATAAAAATGGCACATGCATTTAACTTTCTTTTCTCACCTTCTCTGTGATTTCAGCGATGTCCTCTCTGTGTTCCCAGCTGGGAAACATGTTGGTGAATGTAAGAGGCTCCAGTCCTGCATGGATCAGGTAGGATTTTGGTGTCTTTTTCTCATTTTTTTCTAAAAAAACAAAGGTTAAGGAAATCCTGTTATTGATAAAAGTCACAACATTACTGTCATTTATTTAAATGACATAATTATAACAAACTAGTTAAACATTTAAACGAATTTAAACAAATAAAAAAAATATATATAATACAATTATTATAATGTAATTATTCATAAATGTTTATATTAGAACAGTTTTATACAGTAACATAGTTTAAATAAATTACATTTAAAAAGCTTTTGCATTTTCTTATTTTAGATGACAATTTTTAAATTTGGTAAACACCTTGAACTACCATTGGTCTAACTATGCAATAGATGGCTGTGGTTTTGGGGCTACACCTCCAACATTAAAGCCCAAGTTTAAACAGAGTAAATGATTTGCTTAGAACAGTCCAGCATGTCAACCAGAGCTCTTAAAATGTTGACTTTTTGACTGAAAATTAAAAATAAAAATGATAAAAAGAGAATTACACAATCACACTATATTCTTTCTTTCCTAAAATGGTCTTTAAAAGGTGTCACACACTTTATTTATTTATTTTTTAGATATTTATCATTTGTTTCTGTGCCAACAATTACAATTCAGAATTTTATATTAAAAAGCAATCGTTTAAGCGGACTTCCTGTGCATTTCAAAATACAATTTTGTAACTTACAAAACCTGAATGATATCCAATATGGAGAAAATAAAAATAAGGAGAGAACTTATCTACTGAATTAATGAAGCAGCAAAAAGAGAATAAAGTAAAACAAAATGATAAAAGTAATTGAAGAATCCAGGGCTAAGACGAGCACTTCCATAAAAATGTCAACCTTGCCATAAAACTTTTCACCAAAACTGCGAAACAGTTTCTACGTTTTTTGTGTAAACAAGTATTTTACAGTACCTTTAAATACTCAAAAATGTCTCTCTCAATGCTTTCAAACAATTATATTTGATTTACCAAAGTCACACAAGTTCCAATTTCACATCTATAACAAAGCGGTGTGACTTCCAAAACAAAGCTTTTTCCTCATAAATGTAAAAATTTTAAATGAATCTATCTTTTTTGTTTTTTAGTCAGCCAACTATTATCCTTTTAAGATAATTCATTTTGGGTTGTGCAGTTTAATTCACACAATTTATACAAAGTATGTTGTAAACTGTAAACTCACAGATTTGTTTGGTCACATTCATAACCATGTTTTTTCCTCATTTGAAATGTAAAAAAAATTGTACAGATGGATATTTTTCTGATCCCATAACTCTGTGATTAATTGTTTTGGAAAATATAAACAGATGTTTCAATATAATGTTAACATAGTTTCTCTGTGAATTTACATTTTGAGTTTTTACTGCAAATGTCACTTCTATAACGCTGGAATTGATCAGGTACAACATAATGACTGTTGCAGAGTTACATTACACTATATATCCATATTAACATGGTTGATTCTTGAAGACCAAAATTACTCTGTAAAATCGCCTTTTTTTAGTTTTAAAGAGAAAGTAAGGGTTTCCATCTTACAAAGTTTTATTACAATTGCTTTGGCTTCTTTTAGAGTGTCAGATATGACTTTTTAAATCACCTTTGCTATATTGGAGCACAGTTTCCATTGCACACTTCCTGTCAGAGTCCCACCGTATGCGAGCTGAGCCTGTGCTTTCACTGTCCTGAGGCCACCAGCCCTGCCACAGGTAAACTTCATGATGATTATCCACCAAAAACAGGGCTAAAAGACAAATCAAACAGAAGAAGCAGCGTCACAATAGCATCACAGAAGCACCTCATGATTTTTTTTAATGAGAAGAATTACATTTCCCTCATACATCATGCATGCAAAGAGTGTAGAAAATCCTTCTTAAAATGTAACGGACACCCACACAGAATACCTTAACAATACGATTGAGCAGACGGCACACTTAGAAGAGTTTAGCAGACATGAATGTGTCAAGCACCTGGCTGAGTAGCTGTATACAAATCCTCCTGGAGGAAAGGCATCGAGTTAACCAAATTTGGTTCTCTGGATGGATATACAAACTCCACTGCTGCAAACTCTCCCGAGGCACTGCTTAACTGGAAAAGCCGAGGAGTGAAGTTGAACTTTCCTGGATCTGATACACAAGACAAAACTCATGAATGTAGGGATTTTAGACTGAAACAGAAGACTTTAGACTATTCACAAAATAAACTACTAATAATTAAATAGCCGTTCCATATGCACCAGACACTTTACTACAAAATCTCTATTATAAAGACTCAAAAATAACAACAATAATATGAAGAAGAACAATAACAGCAATAATAATAAACTGCTATGCTAACTTAGACTTGTCATGGTGTCTACAGTATATATTGCTGCTCTGTGGTGATTTAAAGTGCTTTTTAATCCTCATTATAAGTCATTATGGATAAAAGTCTGCTAAATAAGTAAATGGAAATTTAAACACACCTCAAATAGTATATTTATATAGCATATTTACTATAGTTACACTAAATTACATTTCAGTGGGTGTCTTCTGTAAATCATACTTAAAATGTATGAGTCATCTATCATCAAGAAATAATGAAATTAAACAGTACACATTCTACAGTTTGGGAATCTTTAAAAGTCCCTTGAAGTGCTTTCAAATATGCATTTTTAAATAGATGTTTGATTTACTCTCAACAAAAAAAGAGAGTGTGGTAGAGCAGTGGTTCCCAACCTTTTTCTTTGGGGCCCCCCCCATAAACATATACAAACATTGGAGCCCCCCCACCATATAAATACACACGCACGCACGCACACACATATGTACTGTGTATGTATATATATATATATATATGTGTGTGTGTGTGTGTATATATATATATATATATATATATATATATATATATATATATATATATATATATATGTATATGTATGTGTGTGTGTGTGTGTGTGTGTGTTTGTGTAATATTAATATATAGTAATATGTATAGAAAATATTAATTAATCAGTTTTAACTTGTCTTGGCCTTCAATAAAACCAAAATTTAGGTAGGCTTTGTCATACTGTCTAATCTTTATCTTCGCCTCTGAAGAATCACAGCATTTATTAATTATTTTCACTATTATGTTGGAATTTTAAGCATGTGTTTAGATTATTTTTTATTTTTTGGGCTGCTCGATTTTGGGAAAAATCATAATCACGATTATTTTGGTCATAATTGTAATCACGATTATTCAAAACCATTGCCAGTTAAAGTCAAAATTATTAGCGCTCCTGAGATTTTTTTTTTTTTATAAATATTTCCCAAATTATTTTTAACAGAGCAAGGAATTTTAACAGTATTTCCTATAATATTTTTTCTTCTATTTGTTTTATTTTAGCTAGAATAAAGACAGGTTTAAAAAGGTCTATTTTGAAACCAATTTAAGGTCAATATTATTAGCCCCCTTAAGCAATATATATTTTTGATTGTCTGCAGAATAAACTACCGTTATAATGACTTGCCTTATTACCCTAATTAAGCCTTTGAACAGCACTTTAATCTGAATGCTTGTATTTTGAAAAATATCTAGTAAAATATTATGTGCTGTCATTATAGCAAAGACAAAAAGAAATCAGTAATTAGAAATGAGATATCAAAACTATTATGTTCAGAAATAAGTTAATAAAATATTCTTTCCATGAAACAGAAATTGGGCAGGAAAAGGTTTGCTAATATTCAGGAGGGCTAATAATTCTGACTTCAACTGTATACATACAGTTATTTTCCACCCTGCAATGGAAAGAGAAATAAATACATTAGAATAAAAATATGAAACAAACTGTGCTTTAAGCATCTTCACTGTAAGAAAAACACTTTAGCTGCAGCAGTCCTTCAGTCAAGAGCAGCGAGGGTTTTCTCGTTATGTTCGTTTAATAATGTTAAAAACAGGCGGCAGAAGGATTATAGCGCACTGTATCTTTAATGGTTTCTCTTTCACGTCTTTTGATCCTCAACTCGTTTGTTTATTACACAAATGAGGGTTAATGTAAATAATCACTAAACACCGCGTTTTGACACCTATTTGACCATTAAAGCGTTCACGTTAAGATGACTTTAGATGTCTTTGCTCCTCTGCTCGTCTCAGTGTGTGAATGAGAGTGAATGCAGACCGGCCGCATACTTCTGACTGCGTGATCGTGCTGCACACACACATAAGCTCTTTCGCGCTTTTAAGAGCAACACGTGTACAACTGTGGCGAAATATGATGCAATAGTCATTTATCTCGATTAATGCTTTTTTATAATCGTTTGAAACCGAAATCTAAATCGGATTTTCGATTAATTGCAAAGCCCTTTATAATAGTGGACCGTTTTTATGCCTTTTTCTACCTCAATACTTATCCTCTCCCGCGCCCCCCCTGTGAACTCTGGCGCCCCCCTTAGGGGGGCGCGGACCCCAGGTTGGGAACCACTGTGGTAGAGAGTAGCTCCTCCCCTTTTTTTTAAGAAAACAGCTAATAGAGTTTAGTTGTTCTCACAGCTGTGCCAGTGAGAGTGGTTGAGCTCAAGCATATCAGTTAAAAAGCTAATGAGAAGGGTCTTAAAGGGGGTGGGATGTGTCAGATACTAGAGAGCATATCATTGGTCAAGATTTGATGAGAAACTTGAAAAAAACTGTTGATCCATTTAGGCAGAAGTGTCAAACAAGCTTTACATGTTTATATCAGTTTTATATTTTCTAAACACAAATGTTGTCATACTAATAATTTTGTACTACACTATTTTATAGATATCATTAAAGACTAAAATACAGATACTAACATCTTTAAAAGCAACTTTAAGCTGCTTTATACTTTTTGTTTGGATGTCTGAACCCTTTCATGAAATTTTCAAAACTTCTGCGACCCACAATGTTAGCAAACATGTAGCAAGATATGATATGATATTATGATATTAGCAACAACCACCCCTTTTTTAATTTTTCTTTTTTCTTTTCCTTGTGTGTGTTCTAGTTTGGTTTTCTTACGCAGTTTATATGATGTTATTTATTTATTGTATTTATTTATTTGTATTGTTCTGCTTTTATGTTAATGCTCTGTATTTGATATTCATCTGCATTTTTGAAGTAAGAAAAATCTATAAAAAGTTCAAATCATAAAAAAAACTTTTATTGAAATGACAAGCCAACATTAAATGTTCATGCATTAATTATAATAGAAAAAAACAATACACAAAATATGAAACTAACACCATGAACACTTGTAATAATTCACACCATACTGTACATAATCCACTATCGCTTAACATAAATGGAGTACTCATCAAATACTCATCTAATTCAGTAAAAACTGCCATAATGATTCTAAAATGTGTAGCAATTGCACTAATAAATCACGTTACATGAGGTAAATGTACTTTTGTTGTAATATTTAATATAGTTTCTAATTTTTCATAACCTTAATTTTGATTAAACTGACCCTTCTATTAGCAAATTACGTCTAGAATGACCTTCAGAGTCTGACGTTTAACTTGGTCAAATCAGACAAACTTGACCACAATTAGACCTGTCTTTTAATTTCAATTACAAGATGATCGCTAGTTCTGCTCATAATATGCTGCTGCCTTTTTTATGGTAAATAATCAGTTTTCAAAACAATTCAAAATACATTTTCTGTACTTTGTGTATCTTTTTCTTTGTTTTGTCATGTCTGTTAACAGAACACAATGTTTTTAGCACCTCATTAATAATTTTGTTATCATAATTTTAGAATTATATAAATTTTATTTTTACTATTGTATGGTGAGTTCTGCTGACGTGAACTTCCCTTTGGGATTAATAAAGTCTGAACAAACCTTCTTGTAATGAACATGCAAACGTAAAATTTGTCTAGGAACAACACTTTAAAATTAGAAATGAAAGATTTCATCACCGAAATACTTAACACTTATGACTTAATCATAAATGTGCCATAAGACCAATTTTTCCTCGACTTTTGTCCTCACCCTGCAGCATGCAGTCGTACGCTTTTCGATCTCTTTTGCCCAAAGCCTCCCAGAAGCCCTGTGGTTCAGCTCCCTCATCACACTCCTGGATGGACACTTTACTGCTGCTGTGAAGCCCTGCCTCCAGAGGACACCTGGAGAGCAGAAAGTCAATATCAGGTCTCTGTTACCCTTCAGATGTAAAGTGTCATTGGTTTGTTTGTATGCAAGTCGACTCACTGCTCTTTGATTTTGTTTGCAGTGGTACGGCCCACGTCACGTGTGTGCACTTGTGCCTTGCAGCCATGCCACAGGTATAGGCTGGCTTTGGGGATGTTCAGGAGGATCATAGAGGTCCGGGATCGCAAGCTGCTGCAGTGACACACTGCCTCCAGCAGATGGCCCTCTATGGGTTTCTCTCCTCTCACACAGTACAATCGCCAGTCGTCTGTGCATTGAGAAATCAGGTCAAGTCCATATATTGCGATCTGATTTACATAATGTTTTTGTCGTTTGAAATAATTGTTAATTATAATAACAAAAAAGTAACTAATAATAAAAAAAGTGAGAAATGTAGGTAAAGTCAGTAAAAGTGATTACTTTGTGTATTGTCTTCCTCCTCTTCTCTTTTTCCAGCATGAACAATCATTCCTCCATTGAAGCATTGTAGGAAACAAGGAGGCTCCTTTCCTTGCTGTACCTGGACCTGCGTAACATATAAAAAGAAATCTACCCTTTAAACATATGAAGACTTAAAATTTTTTTTAACAAAATTACTAATTATAATCAGCAAAGAACACATTTAATTGATAATTACAATAACTAATTAATATTATTTTAAAATCTTAAAAAAATATATATTTTAGCTATTTTAAACTGGTTCATTTATGAAAAAATCTGAAATATTCAACCAAAACAAAGCACAAAAACTATTTTTAAAATGGGAAACAAATGCTTCTCCACAGGAATAAATTATACCACGACAGAAGTTATTTAGAAAAAAAAATGCTGGTTGATGGCAACCATTGATTTCCATCGTATTTCTTTTTGACAAATGATTAACATCATCCAGCTTTTTTCAAAAATCGTCTTTTGTGTTTAACAGAATCAAGAAGCTTAAAGGTTTAAGAGAGTAAACAGTGATTTTTAGTGATACAGTTATACACGTAATTCATTTTAGCCAATGGATGTGATCCTATACTGCTCTTTCGGGAAGCATTTTATGTCAGTACTTCCTTACTAGGATGTATTGTCTTTGTAAACACAATGCTTTGTTTGTTCAAGTGCTTAGTTCAAGATTTCCTTTCCCCTTTAAGTGAGTGTTGACAAAAAAAGTGATGATGATATTTTTTCATTATGTAGAGCAGTGTTTCCCAATTCCAGTCCCCTTGGTGGTGAACAATAATAAAAAAGACACATTAATTTGCTCTAGTGGAACGTCTGTCTATGACAATTTGTTTACAATGTAACAGAATTAATTTTCATTTTTGGTGAATTATCCTTCTAAGAAAGCATAAAATGAGTTTTAAGTTTAAAACAAATCAATAAAGCACCTGAGCTCCTCTTTCCTCATCCAGCTCAACAGTCATCAGTGCTGACGTTCCCTTTTCATTCACCGTAGAGTTACGACCCTGCCAGAAGAAATAACAACATTTCTCCTTCCCTGGACCGATGATTCTTTCTGAATGCAGTCTCTTGCCAACTACACACACAAAAAAGCAGAGAGTAAACAACAGCAAAAGCAACAACAAGATATACAGTTGAAACCAGAAGCTTACATAAGGAACATAACCTTTTTAAAAAAAAATGTCTGTTGACAATAAACGTTTATTATTTTAGGTCCGTTAGGATTACCTAAATGATTTACATTTGTTAAATGCCAGAATAATTACTTTCTTTTTTTGTTAAATATATTTCTAGATAGTCACACGTTTACATACATTTCCTTGGTGTTTTTTAAGTTTGCTTTTCAACTGTATAACTTTGGTCAAATATTTTGGGTATACTTCCACAAGCTTCTCACAATAGTTTGCAGCACTTTTGGCCCATTCCTCCTGACAGAGTTGTTGTAACAGAGTCAGATTTGTTGGCTGTCTTGCTCGCCCAAGCTTTTTCAACTCTGCCTACAAATTTTCTATAGAATTGAAATCAGGGCTTTGTGATGGCCACTCCAAAACATTCATTCTGTTTTCCTTAAAGCACTTTTTAACTAATTTGGCAGTATGCTTAGGGTCATCTACTGTTTTGAAGACCCATTTGTGGCCAAGTTTTAATTTCCTGGCTGATGTCTTGAGATGTTGCTTCAGTATTTCTACATAATGTTCTTTCTTCATGATGCCATCTATGCTGTGAAGTTTACCAATCCCTCCTGCAGCAAAACAGCCACACCACATGATGCTGCTGCCCCCATACTTCACAGTTGGGATGGTGTTCCTAGGCTTGTAAGCTTTCCCCTTTGTCCTCCAAATGTAACACTGGTCATTATGGCCAAACAGATCTTAGTTCCATCAGACCACAGGACATGTCTCCGAAAATAATTATTTTCCCAGTGTAATTTAGCAAATTGTAATCTGACTTTTTTTTTGTTGATTCTGGCTTGTTGATTGTCCCATGTTGTCACACAGGGAAGTGGTGTGTTTGAGGTTTTCCTTAAATACTATTCTACAGTTGTGCCTCCAATTAACGCAAATGTTGTCAATTAGCCAATCAGAAACTTCCAAAAATTGACACCATCATCGGAGCTTTTTCAGAAGCGTAATAATCTTATTGTATGTAAACTTGACTTTAAAGAAAAGTTATAATAATTTATCAAAAATATCTCTCTCATTATTCTGCTATAAGCAGAAACAAATTTGATAATCCTAACTTACCTAAAAGAGACAAAGTTTAGTCACATTAACATCTGACTTTTTTTTAAATAGTTATGCTTTTCCTGATAGCAGTTAACTTATCCGCCACTAGTGTCACTAATAACAAGGTTTTTAAACTACACTCTGGTCTCAGACAAGGCCAGTCCTAGACTAAACTGAAAATAACTTGCAGTTAGAAATCTTCAAATGCTTTAAGTGGCATAGACATGTCTCAAGATGCACACTTTTAGTGTGTTTTTCGTAATAACTTCCAGAAGGCCTAGTTCTGGATTAGACTATAAATTTAGCACCTTTAAACTTATTTTATGTAGTTGTAAAAGCATGTATATTGCTATGTTATACATTTTATTGTTGGTTTTATTTTTATTTTTTTACTGAAAACATTCAACTCACCTGCTGTGCTGATCATGTACTTCCATTTGACCACGTATGTGTCACCTTCATGAAACTGACCAATGCTCTGTTTGGGTAGTCGACTAGAACAAGCAAAGAGGAGACAGTGTTTGTATATAAATCGCCATTTATGTAGGAGCTTCACTAAGTAACTGACCCACCCTACCTGTAGTCAAACTCTAAAATGTGCCAGACATCCACAGACAATGTGCTGATCTCAAAATTACGTCCCTCTTCACCTTCCACTAATCCATATCCTCGTCCAATGTTCACCCCATCCAGAACGGTCCTGACTGGCGCCCGTACTGCCGATAGCATCAGAGACGCATCATAGGGCCGACATTCACCACTCCGAAGCTCCTACAAAATTTAATAAAGCAAATTTGCTTCAGATTTTGAAAAAAAAATTGAAATAAATACCCTAAAATATCAAAGTTATTAATACCTACTCTTAAGAAAAGAGATATACAACTTTTTCCTATATGCCCTATGATGCTTTACATGTATATCAGGGGTTAACAGGGTTTTAAACTAAAAATAACTGAAGTGTTTTAAAATAGGGGTGCAAAGGTGTGCCATTATTCTCACAGTTCATCAACTCAATAATAAAACACATTTTTTTTTTTTAGAATTAACTAAATCCTTTTAGTGTGTGAATAACCAATGAACTCAAAGGAGCTTTGGCCACATATATGCTTGTTATAATATTTATGTAAAAAATTATTTTCATGATAGATAAAAATAAACCAAGCCAGATGCACTTCTCATTCAAAATTTACTAAGTATTTGTATTATTTGTAATGTAACCTTACTATCTACATTGATTTAAATTATTTCAAGTGGAAGTTCCCCAAACCATAATGTGAAATACAGTATAATTTGTCTCGTCAACTCAAAATTTAAAATACAGTCATGCAATGGTGAAACTAATTCTGTGCAGATCTACCTTGTTTTCAACATGCGAGTCACCATTCTTCTTAGAATTCTTGGAATCACTCCAGTCCAAAAACTTCTCTTTAAAAAGAGTAGTTTCATTGTGCTGAGTTAACCTGCCAAACACAGCCCAGTCTGGTCGTCCCTGGCCTTTCCTATGAACAACACATTTAGAATACAGAATTTATACAAAGCAATGATATCAACCCTATTTTACAAGTAGTCTCTTTTCTGCAAAAGTGTAAAAGGGCCATTCACACAGAATGTTTTTCCATTCCAATATGCTACTTTTAAATTGTTTTTTAATGTAAACAAGCAAATTACCTAGGGGTGGGTGATTCATTGAAATAAAAAAATTAAAAAATCAGTAACCACCTAAAGAAAACACAATCTTTCCTTTTTTATTTATCTGACACTTTAACTGACAATATTTTTGCACCAGGCACATTCTTACAAAAAAATGTAAAATAAAAAAATCCACTATAAAGTGTGTTTGACACAGGTGAGTGGGCTTAACAATTGACCTTCAAAAACATTACAACTTTTCTTTACTCCAGCACCTTATTTTCTGAGTACTAACAGTTCCTCAGTATAATTGGCACTTCTTGTGTGTATTGCCTCTTCGTGTTGATTTGCTGATTGTCTCCTCAATTGTAAGTCACTTTAGATAAATGTCTGCCAAATGACTAAATGTAAATGTATGTAAACATGATTAAGAAAAGCTGCGATGGTAAGTCATGCACATCTTGTCAGGGAAGCAGTTGTGTAAACAGTAGTAAAACTTTTAAAGATGGAGGAGAGACTGTTTCAAGTTATCCAGAGCTATATTTCTTAACAAATCTTAAATTTCACATTATTATTAAATATTACAGTTATAACAGCATAGACAGCAACACTTGCACACAGTTGCACAGCGCTTCTTTTTTTTCATGTCCACAAAAAAGGCAGTGTGGTGCACCTCGCAATTTTGTAATGGAAAAGTGTGTTTACTGTGATCGGCCCCTAAATGTGCAACTGCAACATATATTTGTTAACTCCCGGGACTGTGCAACCACATGTGCCTACAGACATATTTGCCGAAGAAGCAAAATGGAAGAAGAACATTGCAGTTTGACACAGATGAGTCGATGCTAAACCAGCGTTGATGCTAATTGCCTCTGTCATCTCATAAACACAACAAATAGGCTATAGCTTTCATTTTATAGGTTATAAAACATGTATGCAAATTAATGCAATATCATATTTAGACAACAAAACTTTACAAAATGTCAACATTGCGTTGTCACTGTCTTATCACAGGCAGTGCACACACTTAAACCGCCAGTGAGCGAGGAAAAAAGCACAGAAGCTCAGAAGGTAAAACCAGACGCTCAAGACATAATCTTTAAATGATTTCTATTAAAAATGTAAAAAGGTTTTGTGCTATAATAATAAGTGAAGCATTAATTAAATGCATATTTTCCGTAAAGCGATTGATTTAAGGTAGCCTGATATTTTTATTGGACTGTAGACAAAAAAACATGATTGAAACAAACAGCCTATGCCGGTTCTTAAAAAGGATTCAGTCAGTGTTTTTGTTTTGTAATCAAAATTTGTCAATTACGTGAAAATAACTAGGGTAGGTCTATTTATTTTATTCTTTGTATTTAGTTTATTCTTTTTTCTATGCTGTTGGAAACACTGCAGATGCGTGAAGATGTTCTGTTTTTATGCTTTGTTATTAATGGGTTCGCATGTTAAAATAAATCAGAGTTTTAAAATGCAATATTTAATGTGTCGGACACTAAATAGACACGTCAATTATTATTATTTTTAAAAAATCAAATCAATCTGACCAGTTAACAGTTAATATTCGATTAACAAGCGTCAGTTGTAGGTTAGCAAAATTAACCAAAAAGAGAATCCCTATTAGCATTTATAACACAGAACAGTAGTTCACAAAGAAGCTGCACAAACAGCTGTAGTTATGACAGAATGATTACCTCAATGTTATTCTTGACCAATTCAATCAATTTCAAAACCAATTTTTGCACAGCTTAGTACATGCTTCTCCTTTAAAAAAGAACATGATGGAGGTTTACTAGGACCAGTGTTCTGTCGATTTGTCCTACCTCCTAATCAAAAAGTAGGTTGCACATTTTGATGATGCAATGTAAATTTTAATGCGGAGTAGCATGACATAAAGCTGTAATTTAGCTCTAACCTACCTAATCCCTAACCCCAACCTCAGAACCATTCAAATACAGTGTTGGTAGCCTAATCTGAAGGGTAGGATAAAATGTCAGGACACTGGCTTTACTGACAAAATGTGTACAAAAATCCCCTTTGATAAATTTTTTCAAGCACTAGCATGACTATTATTCTAGCATATCGCATCTTTTGCTGTGGTTAAGATAATACATTAAGATTAAAATGATAAAAGAAACCGTATGCAATAAGCAGCATAAGCTGTTATAAATGTTTAAAAATCAATGAAAGTGAATGAGGCTTGAACATGTCAGCACATTTAAATTACAATGTCTGCTCCTGCGCTTACTTTAAAAATAAGATGGATATCTTGGAAGTGCATGAAACATGAACCCAGACCCCTTTTACTTCAGGAGTAAAGCATTAGGTCTCAGGAATTCTACCCGGCAACCAAACTCTGTTTATGAGCACTGAGATACTAAGCCACTGTTTTGACAGGTGTAGCGCGCAGAGCAAACTTCTGACCTGGGTTTGAGCTTTAAAATGTCACAAGTGCCAAAACGTGATTATAATGGAACCGCACAAATCAGCAGAGCCAAACATACTCTGCAGCGTTTTGTACCTGGGTATGAGAGCATTGCACTCTCCAGGGTCCAGAGGATTAATGTCACAGTTGGTGTAGTCAAAGGTGCCATTCCACAAGTGCTTCGCCAGCTGAAATGCCACTTTTCTCTGTGCCAACGTTACCTCCTTGCCATGCCATACGTAGACCTCACTACCAAAATCAAATACCAGCACCTAGATGTCAGACAAGGAGGAAAAGAGGATTTAAACTTGAATTCACCTTTGCTGTTGGGTTATAAAATACACTGCCCAACAGATTTATCAGAAAAACACTTAAAATCGTGCTTTTAAATGAACACATCATTATATTGGATACTATGAGATAAATGTTTATTGATTAACTTGATTATATAGTACCAAAAGCAAAATTGGACCATCATAACAAAATCATTTAATTGATATAAATGTTTTGTAATGTACAGCAATGTACAGTGGTTAGCCTAAATGAGGAAACCCCAATTTGAAAATGTTTATTTTTATCCATTTCTCAGTGAATATAGGCTATATATGTTAATGCGTTTGAACCAAACTGATTTATTAAACATATATATTTATCAAAATAATATTTTAGTCAACTAACATGTTTAGAAAGACAATAATACAATTCATGCAAAATATTGAAGGGGGGGGGGTCTGTTTCTCTTGAATTTTGCTCTTTTTAAAATATATTTAATATTTTTTTCTAATTTTGGACCATTATCATCTAAGTTATATTGTTAGATTAGCTCTTAGACTAGCTGTTTTGTTAGATTTTCGTGACCATATTATAAAGGAGAGTATTTGGAATAAAATAAAATAAATTTAAAAAATAAAATAAAAAGAAATATAAAATAAAAATATATCATGTAATACAATATAATAAAAAATAAATAAATACAAAAAAAAAAAAAAAAAATATATATATATATATATATATATATATGATAAAAAGTTTAATAAAATAACTAAAAATATAAAGTAAAAAAATCTATTATACACACACACACACACACACACACACACACACACACACACACACACACACACACACACACACACACACACACACACACACACACACACACACACACACACACACAAAATATGTTTATTTAAATCATACAAAAAAAGTCAAAACACTTGAAAATATTATATATACAAAGTGCTATCTAGCTTTAAACATGGAAAATTGTAGACTGTAGCTTGCCCATTAAACATTTTGTTAGTCAAAATTGTATCAGACAATCCTAATAATACCCAAGTAGTATTTTATAGTACCTCTTTAGGGTTCAGCATGGAGCAGCGAGGGACTCGACCCCAGTAGTCATCATGGGGAACAAGTTTATCCTCCATGAGTCTGTATATGCAGTTGGTTTCCACAACAGCACTCTCATAAAACTCATCTTGTTCAGGAGTGCCAGCGGCTGTAGGGTACAGCATGTCTGATTTACTATGCTTGTGTTCACAAGTACAATTAAACAAATGTTTCTCAATTGTCAGCAGATGAAAACTAATGAAAGTAATTAAAGCCAAACTTACACTGATAACTGGTTTGGCCACCGAGAATCTTCCAAAAGTCTTTGGCAGCGTGTGTGTGAGTGTTTGCACCCTCCTCAATTGTCTGAACATACGAGGCTCTGCATCCCAGGTCATGCTTGGTCTGAACGAACGTGGCCAACTCTGCAGCCTGCAAGACAAAAGATGCAAAACCTAAATTGTAATTTTTATCAAAATACAAAAAGACAAAATAAAATAATAAAATTCAATAAAATAATAAAAATACATAATATTTAATAAAAAAACAAATTAATTAATTTAATTACTAATTTAATAAAAAGCAAATAATGATATAATAAATGAAATGTAATAAATGTAATGAGAAATCACATTAAACACGTCTTCATAAATCCTATTATTATTATTATTATTTCCTTCCTACCATTTTGTGAAACTATAAGCATCACTTCACTGGCAATATGTAGGTCAAAATCAGAGTTCACTGACCTCCTGTGTGACTTAAACAATAGAAAAAAATAGTTTTTACTATTCACCTCCTGCTTCCTGTGTGATAATATATAATTTCCTTTGTGGTTAATTCTGTTTACTTCCTGCACATGAGGGACTCACCGCCATATGTATAGTACTGAAAGCACTACAGCTGAGTACAGGATGTGAGGTATTTGAGTGGTTACAAAATCACCAAAAATCAAAAGAGCATTATAGGTGACTAAATACTGATGTCAAAATCTACTTTAACTGTAATACTTTTTATATTATTACAGTTAGGTATGATCTGATCGCAATTTCTTTTAGTATCACCACTCCTAAGACTGAACCTTTCATTTACACCAGCTGACAGTCATTTTCAGAAGAATGTAATTAAAAAAAAAAGAAGCAGATTGGGGGGGATGCGACGGCAGCCACAGGACAAAGGCGCATGTGCGCTCGTTATACACCAGCTATTGGTGGATAGGAGAGAAATTGAAAGAGTCAATTAGGATGGGGATGACCGGAAGGCCATGATGGTTAAGGGACGATGGAGGGAATTTGGCCAGGACACCGGGATTACACCCCTACTCTTTACGAGACATGCCATGTGATTTTTAATGAGTCAGGACCTCGGTTTAGCGTCTCATCCGAAAGACAGCGCTTACTGACAGTATAATGTCCCCTTCACTATACTGGGGCATTAGGACACACAGAGCGCAGATTGAGCACCCTCTGCTGGTCTCACTAACACCACTTACAACAGCAACCAAGTTTTCCCCATGTGGTCTCCCATCCAGGTATTGACCAGGCTCAGCCCTGCTTAGCTTCAGTGAGTAACTTGTCTTGTGCTGCAGGGTGATATAGCTTTGGCTCAAGCTTCTGTTTTTTTCTATTTGATACACTCTTAAAAGCATTTGAATGATTTTAAAAATTTATAGAGGCTAAATTAAAATACCACCAAATACCAGCCCATTCGCTCTATGGAACAGCCCAAACTACTTTAGAATTGAATGTCTACTTTATAATTATTGTAAAAAGTATGAAAAACTAGAGTCTATATCACTCAAACCACACACAGAAATTGGGATCCCCTTATATGGTTACCAATGGAAACGCGTTTGGTACTTTGGTACTTCGATAAAACCGAACACCATTGTCAATATTGATAAACAAAAGATCCGTTATAAAGTGCTATAGTTTTATTAAAATGTGGCTGCTGAGGGTGCGCCTTGGAAGGAATGCTTTTAAGCTTAGGGTGTAAGTTTGTCATTTTCAATGGAGACGTGCGACTTGCATGATGTATGAGAGTGGCGTGCACGCTGTGTGAGTGGCGCACACATGACGCACGCGTATTTTTAAGCCACACCTAGTTGAAAACATCTGAATGCCAACTTTTCTAAATGTCACGTTCGCACCGCGATTCATCCAAGTAGAAAATACACATTTCAGTATTAATGCCGGACTAATTATCTCAAACGCAGAGCACCCAAACACTGCAGTGCTTTTTACTTTTCTCCATAAACTTGCATCAGAGCTGCAGCAATTGTTTGTCCATTTGTCATCCTCCGAGGAAAGGGTGGATGGTCGCCTAGTTACAAGAGACTCCAAAGGAGCACGAGCGCTAAGCCAAATTGTAAAGGGTGAAGGAAACAACATGCGAGCTTGTCAGTTCAGGTCAGAATAACAACACATGCGAAAATGAACCTTGCCTTAGTAATGTTGGTAAATTAAAATAGTTAAATTAAGAAAATCATAATATTCCTAAATGTCTTATTAAAAAATATTCAATAATTTTCACCCAACCCTATTTGGTACTACAGCCAAACAAAATCTTACTGAAACTTACAGATATAAACTATTTTGTTTTGATTTTGTACAATTTAAAGGAAAAACAAATTTTGTAAAATACACATTTTGAATAAAATCAAAAACAAATGTATTGTTTAATTATTTTTATGAAATTAAAGTACATAACTTCTTTTTTATTTAGATTTTTAAGCTTTTTTATTAACATTTACAACAATTTAAAGTTTAACACATACAAATGTTTGAACATTTCTATTCAAAAAGTGAGGAAGACTGTTAAGCTTTACATGATTTTGATCTATTAATAGTAATAATAATACTTTTAAGTAATGCGTAACATTTTGGAGTAGATTCATGAGATTCACACACTCACTTTGGCCTTCTCAATAACATTAGCGAATTCTCCAATCCAGATGAAGCAATGATGTGGTGTGATCAGGAGGAAGCAGTCGCCACTGTTCAAGGAGGAAGCTCTGGGCTCAACCAGTCTGGTCTGAACGTGCCTGCGACCTAATTACGACACACAGAAAAAAGGGCCAATATTAGTGAGTCACATACTAAAACCCTCTGATATAAGAAGCCAAAACTTAAAATTATCTGCAATGGTTGAATTTTAAACCTCAGAAAAGCATTATCCTATGATATTCTGTAATGCATTACAATGAAATATAACATTACAAGATTATAAAACATAAAAACAATTCAAAACAGAAGAATGTTGCTAGAGTTGGACGTAATACGCTGTTGTTCTCGGACTCTTCATATGTTGTTCTCTTACAGCCTCTGGTTTCTTTCTCTCTGTTTTGATTAAGGGATATGCAGAATGTTGTTTTGGGATGGCGCACATACGGATAGACTGAGAGAGACACCTTATGAGGAAATGGTATCTACACTCATGACACGAGTCCCTATTACCAAACCAGCAGGTCTCATGCAATATTAGGACAGATGTTTTCCCTCCAACTTTGAAGTAAACAGCACCTTTTCATTGCTGTCTCGCTGCCAAATAAGTACCGTCTGTACAGAAACACACAGATAGAGCGTACTCCATATGACTGGATGCTAATCAGAGAACATTATTCTTCATATCTAACATAGCTGTGCACGAAGCTGAGCCCAAACAAGGTCAGAATGGATGATGAATCGGTATAACGGGCTTCTTAGTCTGTAATTAAGACACAAACAGCTGTTGTTGTCATTGTCACTCACCTTTGACCTGAATGAGCATGAGTTTTTTATAGGGCATGGCACTGTTGTTGGAGCTTTGTTCAGAGGCGTTCACACTTCGCAGACTCACACTGCTGAAGTTCTCCTTACTGGCCAATCCGGCGAGAGCAACCTCAGAGAAACCGCTGTTCTTATTCACTGTGGAAGAGAGAGAGAGAGAGAAAAAGAAAACAGAGAGATAGAGAGAGAGTGTATTAGAGGAGTATTAGTGTCAGCATAACATACTTTGTGTTTGTACAACACCTACAGTGTTGGCGAGTAAAAATGTACACTACTTTTGTAAAATTTAGATTATAATGCTCAAAGTTACGTTTGAGCATTATAACGTACACCGTAACGTACACCAGCCTCGAATCCCACGGAAGGAGCTCTGGAGCTCGTCAAAAATCCAATTCAAGATATCTACAACTGTAATTCGACTATTAGTAAATTAATTAGAGATATCTTCAAATATATTTGTAAATATCTCTAAATTTGACGAATTAAAGACATCTCCAAATGTATTATGACTAGTAAAAACTTAGTTAGAGATATCTCTAATTACAATTGTGACTAGTCAAAACTCATTTAGAGATATCTGCAAATATTTTTCAATGGAAGTTAATGGAGGAATATGACTAGTCATAATATATTTGCAGATATCTCCAATCTGATTTCGTACTAGTACAATTGCAGATATCTCTAATTGTTATTCTGACTAGTCGAATTATAATTATGACAAGTCAAAATATAATTAGAGATATCTCTAAATATATTTATGGAGTCAGAACAAAGATTTAAATGCTAAAAGGCTTGCCATAGAGAGCGCTTCTGAACAGCGCAGCAGCGATGACGTAAGCGTGCCGAGGCCCGATATGGTGTGAGCGCGGGCCGTCGGAAGAGACAAGAGGGGGGACAAGCGTGCTTTGGCCCGGTTCGAGGCAACTGTACCTAGTGTGAGTACGCCCTAAGAGGAGGAACGATGGCAGAGGAAGCTGAGAGAGGTCCAGGCCTGGAGACACTTATGTTGTGTTTTGTTTTGGTTTAGACGGCAGTCTCTGTGTTTGTTTTAATTTCCTCATTAAATTATGTAAAACTTTGTCGGTTCTCCGCCTCCTTCCCGGTGGTCAGGGGGCCGTAAACTTCATTACAATCACTACTTAAAATAAAACTACTTTATTCATTTATGCAACACCTTTAAATTTATAAGGGAAACATGAGGGCGATCTTAAGCAAATAATAAAAAAGAGCCTATAAGGTGTTTTGTGGAATACTTAAACTAACCAATAGCCATGTGTTTTCTTTCCCTTGTATCTATTTATTATAATGATGAAACTTGCGACCTTTGTGGGCTAACCAGACAATACAAAAGCGGTTGTTCCCTGCACCACCTGGTGGATATTGCGTAAAGGACAATTTTTTATTATTATGATTTTTTTTTAAAAGGCAGCATTTGGCGCTGCAGCACAGCACGTGACTGCATGTGACAAATTGCAGCACTGCGCGTGAAGAAACACACACTCTCAGTGGCCACATTGTACAAAACATTTTGCTCATAGTGAGTCACGTAAACCAAGTCTTTAAACAAAACACTATCCTACAATCATTTGGAGCTTGTGGATGAAATATTTTCCTTTTTTTAAATATTTTTGTGAATTATATTTCTAGTAATGTTTCTGTTTGTCACTATGTTTTGTCCCCATCAGTGTCCTCATAAGCTTTTGTTTTGTTTTTCAGCTTATTATACAAATTATAGTGAGAAATACATAAATCTAAAATATAGAACATAATTAAATGTATATATATATATATATATATATATATAAAGTAGTGTATGAGTGTGAGTGTGTGTGTGTGTGTGTGTGTGTGTGTAGTTGCAAGAGTTTATGGGTGTTTTCCAGTACTGGGTTGCGGCTGGAAGGGCCTCTACTGCTTAAAAAAACATATGCTGGAATAGTTGCCAGTTCATTCCGCTGAGGTAACCTCTAAAATAGAGACTAAGCCAAAGGAAAATGAATGAATAAACTAATGTCTATGTGCTTGTGCCTACATTTAGTTTTTCTGTTGTTTGTCATTAATGGATTTCAAATGTTCAGAAAGACATCCAATATGACATTTAAAGACTAAATATAGAAATAGCAACTCATGATTGTATATTTGTATTACACAGTGCAAATACTGTATGACTCAAGTCAGCATAACATTGACTGAACGGCAGGAAAATGAGGAACTGAAATGTAGGTCAGCTAGGCTGGGTCCCAACACAGTGCAAGATTATGAATATGTGAATACTGCGCCATGTCTAGTCATCACCCACTCTTTTCCTGTTTCATCCTCTTGCTCTCCAGAAGGCCGATGTTCAGTCTTTGTTCCGTGTACTCATGTCTGATGTCCTCCCGAACAGCCAGCATTTTCAGCGGGTTTTTAGATGACTGAACATTTCTGGTAGGCCGAACTGCCCGCTTGTGCTGCACCATTTCCGAAGTCAACCTAAAAGAAAAAAATGTAAATGTCAGAGACCTCAATCTCAATCTCTTTTTATTTATTTCTAAAGCTGTAAATAGAAAATGTATGTCAAAAAGACAGCATATAACATTGATCAACAAGACAATATACAGTTAAAGTCAGAATTATTAATCCCCCTTTGAATTTATTTTTCTTTTTTAAATTTCCCAAATGATGTTTAACCAGCAAGGAAATTTTCACAGTATGTCTGATAATATATTTTTTTCTGGAGAAAGTCTTATTTGTTTTATTTTAGCTAGAATAAAAGCCGTTTTTAATTTTTTAATAACCATTTTAAGGTTAAAATTATTAGCCCCTTTAAGCCATATATTTTGATAGTCTACAGAACAAACCATCGTTATACAATACCTTGCCTAATTACCCTAACCTGCCTAGTTAACCTAGTTAAGCCTTTAAATCTCACTTTAAGCTGTATAGATGTCTTATAAAATATCTATTCAAATATTATTTACTTTGATCATGGCAAAGATAAAATAAATCAGTCATTAGAGATGAGTTTTTAAAACTATTATGTTTAGAAATGTGTTGAAAAAATCTTCTTTCTGTTAAACAGAAATTGGGGAACAAAATAATAAGGGAGCTAACAATCCAGGGGGGCTAATAATTCTGAGTTCAACTGTATATAGTTGGTTAGTTATAGAGACTAATTATAATCTTTACCTGGGCAGCTGTACTCCAAAGATGTCATCAAAATCATCACTAATTTCCACTCTGCTGGTGAACTTTGCCATATCCTCTGCATGTCGATAAAACTTATCAAAGACCTCATCGTCCAGAGTCATGACCTCTTTTACAGACTTCTCCGTGACAGCAATTGTGGCCTCCTGAAGTCCTGGAACTAAAAAATAAAATAAAATAAAAATAACATGCAATTAACAATATTTAGGAGGGAAATAATGTGAAATAATTAGCTTTTAAACACAAATCTCATTCCAGAGTTTCATTATTTCATTCCAGTGAACCCACTGTTAATGAAATATAATGCTAAATGCTTTAATGTGATAAGGGACATTTAATTCTGTTGCTAATTGTTGTTTAACTTATTATAAATATTCATCATTTTATTGTGTGAGTGAGAAATTCACTGAAATATCACAATAACAGAGTTCTTAAATAGTTCATCTACTATTGAGAAAAATGAATTATATGCCTCAATGCCTTTTAGAGTTTCCTGCCAGAGGAAGCTTTTTGTATTTCTATTCTCATGCTTTTTATAACCAATGTAACAGAGTTGACCACAACAAAATGTATTTCATCACTGAAATTATGTCCCTAAATACACATCAGACAATATTTTACAGATAACGTGATATAATTTCTGGAATTATTCAAATATGTTTCATTAAAGGGTTTGTCTTAAAAAAATAGTAGAATTGTAAAGATTTAAAGATTAATTTGGTGAAGCAAATTAAAAAAAATTACACTCACCTTTACTATTCAAACGACCAAGGAATGTTTCCAACTTTTCTAACTTCATATCTGACTCCAGCTTCATGTTCTGTTTGACTTCAATCTCTACAGAAGAAAAGAAAGCAGTGATATAAATAGAAAGAAAGAAGACATTTTTAAAAATAGAAATAGAAAGACAATAGAAACAGGACAGGAAATCTGATTAGAGGAACATGCAGCAGGACAAGATAATAACATAGGTTGAATATAGCTCTGGACCCACCTGGTATTAACAGACATTTTCAGTGAGATACAATAAAGTTTTCTAATTTATTTATTCAAGTGTGCTACTAGTGTTTGGATTTCCTTCTTATCGGTTGTGGCTTGCATTGGTTTAACCCCATGTGCATTTACACTACAAAAGCAATTACATCAAATAAGTTTTTGATGACATCTGTAAGTAGTCAAATGTACACATATTTATTGTTATCCACTTGTGCTTGAATTGATAAAAATGCATCTTAATACCAAGTAAAAACAGGATCTATGAATGTGGAACCCACCTTCATGTGGTTTTGTGATGGTATGGGATGTATTCTTGTTTTTAGAAGACAGAGGAGACAACACGGGATTTGTGAGAACAGAAGGGGCTGCCAGGCCTGAGAGAAAGGAAACAGATTATTTTGCAGGGATCTGTTTCTTAACGGTGAAAGTTTTAAAAAGCATAACTGTTTTATTTCCATTGAATAAAATTAAACATTATCTATCTATCTATCTATCTATCTATCTATCTATCTATCTATCTATCTATCTATCTATCTATCTATCCATCCATCCATCCATCCATCCATCCATCCATCCATCCATCCATCCATCCATCCATCCATCCATCCATCCATCCATCCATCCATCCATCCATCCATCCATCCATCCGTCTGTCCCATCCATCCATCCATCCATCCATCCATCCATCCATCCATCCATCCATCCATCCGTCTGTCCCATCCATCCATCCGTCTGTCCCATCCATCCATCCATCCATCCATCCATCCATCCATCCATCCGTCTGTCCCATCCATCCATCCATCCATCCATCCATCCATCCGTCTGTCCCATCCATCCATCCATCCATCCATCCATCCATCCATCCATTTCTCTGTTCTTCTAACCATCAAATATGAATGGTAAATTCTAATTTTTTTTAATATACAACCTGGTCATGTCTATTTTAAAATTACACATTAAATGATATATGATATAAATCTGTATGTGTGCACCATCATTTACCTTTTTTGACCATACGTCCAGCCACTGTAAACTGAGTGGAGTCGTTGGCTGCTCCGTAACCTTTGGCTTTCCAGGCCTCCTCTTGTGAAGTGATGAGCTGCTTGCGTTCCTGAATAGACATCTCTACTCGCTCAAGCTGTTGGCTTTCCACAACTTCATTTCCCATCTTCTGGAATATAAATGAAAAAAATAAATAAACATTTAATATATTGCCTACTTACACTGAATAACATCAGCATGCTTAAATATTTAGCTAATTTTATTTTTTGAAAATGGATGATTTTCTTGACTGATAAATATTATTGTTAAGTTTAAAATGTTCACTGACAACATTGATGCGTGAATGAATACAAGCAAGAAAAGCTTTCCAAATTCAGTACAAAAAGTAAAAGCACCCTAGAGCTGTATGGTTTAAGACAAATATGGCGTTATAGCTTATTTAATGAAATTTAAAACATATTTAAAATGTATTTTATGTTGGCCAAAATGTATATTTTATATTTCCTGATATTAATAAATATGTTATATCTAAGACCATTGCCTATAAAAGTATTTAGAAATAAACAAATAAATTTTACATAATAAATATTTTTAATTCTTTAGTCTTGAGTAACTATCTTTACTGCATTTTCATTTAATAGCATGTTTTTTCACTTATGGTGAATATTGGTGATATCTCAAAGCATTCTGCAGCCCTAAAAATACTAACTGAGAACCTAAACATACCTACAGTATTCAAACTCCATAGAAACACACAAAAAAAGAAAACAGCACAAGAGCACTGACCATACGTTTAGATTAAATTACAATGAGTCTACGTGTTATGGAGGAATATAGGATGTGTTTTGGGGTGGGTGAAAAGCACCTTCCGTCTCCAGGGGTGACGCTCATCCACCTGCACGGGCAGGAGGGTAGCCTTCACAAGGAGGGAAGAGCAGGAGGACAGGCGGCAAGAAACAAGGAATGAGAAAGGATGGAGAGAAAGGATGAAAGGTGAGAGGATGCATCCTACACAAGATACACAAGATGAGACCTCATTCAGTTGACTTACAATTATGTGGGGTTGCATGCATTCTATCAATATATAAATAATGAAAATAGATGGAAATATGTTTTTTATTATTTTTAGGGTTTTTTTACCTTTATTTTGATAGGACAATGGAGATTTAGGACAGGAAAGCATTGAGGATAGAAAGAAGAGAAGGATCGGCAAAGAACATGGAGCCAGGAATCGAACTCGGGTCGCCGTGAGCACGTCCATGCTATATGTCAGGGCACAGTACCACTAAGCTATTGGCTATATTTTGTAAATGTCTTATTTTAATATGGAGGTATTTAAGGCTAAAGTGAAGAGTTGAAAATTATCAAATGTTACATAAACAGCTATTTAATGGCACAGTATGCAATTTTTGCCAGTAGAAGGTGCATTTTCACAGCAAGCAAGGTGTATTTTGATTATAACAAGTGTGGAATCATGAGAGTCGTCATCTTCATTACATCCTATGAAACGTAATGTTCAGAACGAGTACAGAAATCATGTTCATGGATGAGCTAAAGTATTTATCATGGTAGTATGGAGTCGAGTAGGGCTGAAAGCTGTCAAAGTGAAATGCTCCCAGTTTCCCCAGTCACGATTACGTGGGAAAGCAGTGCAGTTTCATCATTCTACTGCATTTTAAGGTTCTGTTAAATGCAATTCTTTGTCGTCAAAATAAAACACAATGTTCTAAAGCATCTTTGTTTTCCTGTTTTCTACGAAAACAAACTGGAAATTGTGAGTGCATGACATCATTAGCATGGAATCCCTAATAAAAATGTCTTATTTCTCAGAATTTTAACATTCCTCAAAACACTTGAATGAAAAAGTACATAAGTCGGCATATACATATAAAACGGTTCTAGAGGTTTTCGAATAATTTATTAACATATTTATTACATATTGTCCCTTTAAAGCTTTAAAAGAGGTTAATAAATATAAAAGACTAATTTAACTCAAGAAATATAAGAATGTACTTTTTAGGCTTCGTAGTATTGAAGATTATATAAATATAAATAGGAAATAAATTTAATGACCCTCAGCCATTCAAGATTTTGCTTATTCTTTTTTTATTTATAACAATTTTTTAAGGGGTTTTCCACTTTTAATGTGATAGGACAGTGCAGGACTGACATGAAAGCATTGGGAGCTGAGAGAGGGAAAGGATTGGCATAGGACCTAGAGCCAGGATTCAAACTCGGGTTGCCATAAGCACCTTGGTGCTATATGTCGGTGCACTTAACCACTAGGCTATATATATACATAAACCTTTATTTCTTTATAAATGTATGGGCAGTTATGCATATTATTTTATTATAAGTGCAACATGTCGATATTAAATAGCGAAAAACCCCACTAATCTAACTACATGTCATATGGGAAATCAGGAAAGGTAGTATGTCAGTATGAGAGGGCGAAAAAGAAAAGATAATTTACATCAGCTGCTCACCTTGGGAAGGTTTGCTATTTGATCCAGTGGTTCAGAGGCACACAAAAGGGAGGAGGAAAAGACAGGATCCTACAGACAGAATCAAGAGGGGACAGCAAGACAGAAGACGGAGAGCACATGAACATGTAGGAGGGAAGAGCAGACAGCAGGCAGGTGACATTGGTCTCATCTTAGACACAATGCAACCTCTAAATAACCACATAACAACCACAAAGGTATTGATTCAAACGTCAAAGTGTGCTATAATGCTGATTAAATCTAGATTCCACAACACACAGCATCTTGTACAACCACCCTGAATCTGATGATACTGAAATCTTTTGATTAACTTGTAGCTGTCAATCTAGCAAAAAGTGCTGAGTCCAAGTCAAATTAGTGAGCCAATGCAGTGCTGTAAGCAAATTACAAATTCACAGGCTTAGCACTGTGAATAATTGATATGATCTCAAACGAAGCAGGTCAATAAAAACTAATTCTTTGGGTAAAATTTTGCTAACTTAAAGTCTGTAGTGGTTGAACAAGTCGGTTAAATATGCATAATAACTGTAAAGACACCACAGGGTAAAAATGACAAAGCCACCATAATGGTAAACAGACACTGCAAAAATCATCATCATGGTAGCAATGTACTGTAAGAGGAACAAGCAAATGAAATCACCACCACAAGCGACAAGGTACAAATACCAGGACAGCACACCAATGTGACCATGATCACAAAATCAAGGATTAAACACAAAGCCAAAACCCGTGAACACCAGCAATACCCCGCGCTATGCCTGTTAGCTTGGTGGCTAAAGGCTAACAGCCTTACCCAGAGTTGATCAGACACAGCAAAGTCATCTATCATCATCCCATCATCCTAGAAAAAGGGGTAAAATGAACAGGGGAGAAATGATCTCCTACTAAAAGCGTGGAAAATAAACTTTATTTTGAATTAGTCTTATTTTCTGAATAATAAACCTTCACTATTTATTTTGCACTTGCTTACAGTTCTATTCAGTGTTTAGCAAAGGGATAGAGGTAGATCTGAATGCAGCTAGCAGTTGATTAAGAAAAATGACAGGATGTATATCCACCAAAGCATTGTTAGCAAGCTGAAAAAAACAGCACCCTTCTTAAAATTGTAATAGTGTGACGGTAGTCATGCAGAAACTCACAGTAATCATTTCTCTCTTATTTTTCTGTCGCCACTCTTGTTGATGTGGCAATAGTTGGAAAGACAACCTATGTATAATTGAGCTGTTTTTCCATTTCCTTTTTTTAATCACGCCAAACAGTTCTAGGAACATTCCGGCACGGCTCCAGTTGTATTTCCACATTAACCAGGAACAGAATAGCATGAATACTGTTCTCAGCAAGGAATTATAGGTACGGTTAGATAACCACGCCGAGCTGTGCTGCCGGAGTATGTGTGATGTTACCTGTCACCTGAGTGTGTGTGTGTGTGCGTGTGTGAACAGATGTCATCTGTTGGCTGGCGTCCAATTTCTCCATAGCTGGCTAAGTGCAAGTGTGCCATGTATTTATATTTTGTAATTCAACCATTTTGTAATTTATATTTTGTAATTTTAGAAAAAAGGAGTCCCTAATGCTAAGTTCAGACTGCATAATTTTAGCCGCGATTTTGACTCGCCGACAGGTTTTAAGAAATCGCAAACAAATGTCTCAGATCACAGTCAAATCGGTGATCTCACAAATCAGTGATTTCCCACTTCGTTGCCAGTCTAAAATTGTTTCCTGTCTGGTACTGTCCTATCCTCTCAATAAAAGGCAAAAAGACCAAAAATAAATCTAAAAAAATTCATAAATAAAACAAATAGACACAAGTATGCTGATCACTGTAAAATAGACACACACACCACCCTTGCCACAATGCTAAAGTTTTTAAAAACCCAATGCTCCCGTGAAAACCAAACAAAAACATTCATAAACCTTGAGGAAAAACACTTTGGTGGAGATACAGTTTAAAAAACCGAAGAAGTCCCACATAAATCACTGTAAATTTTCATTTATTACCAACTTTGAAGGGGTAAAATAATTTTCTGTTAAACACAAACAAAAGTTATTTTGAAGCTTGTTGGAAATCGGTTGCTACTGACATCCATAGTAGAAATAAAAAAATTCAATGGCTACCAGTTTCCAACACTGCTCAAATTATCTTTCTTTGTGAAAAGAAACTTTACGAGTGAAGCGTGAGTAAATGATAACAGAATTTCCATTTTTGGGTGAACAGTCTCTAAGCTGCAGGCACACCAATGTTTGAACATGAAATATTTTGTTCAGTGCTGCGAAAAGGGGCAGGATATATCAAGATGATTATATATTGATAAAGCGAGTAATTGCTCCATATTTTAATTATATCGTCTCAAGCAATCACATGATGCGATTTTGCAGGTCAGACTTCACAAAGCTTTAGGTCCCCAAGAAATCAAAACTAACCGTATGATTTTGTTAGCTCACATTGCTAGTTGTGTTTGTGAACAATTCATCTGAGCATGTCATTAGGAAGAAAAAATGTTTGCCCTTCTAATCTTTAATTAAAATCTGTAAATGCCCTACCTGTTTTATTTTCAGTTAAATTGTCAGTTTATGTACATCTTAGAAAATTGGCGTGGCTTATTTGCATATTTGCATCACCTGAAACGATTTGACCAACAGAAGATAAAAACATAACTTCCTTGCACAGAGAGAGAAAAAACAAATCAGTGTTGCATTATTTAGTTTTTTCCAACCTCTTTTGCAGCACTGTACGGCAGAACATCACATGCTCAAACTCTAATGTGACCGCAACTTTACAATGCACCTGCTAAGTCACATGCTAAATGACATAACAGGTTATTTCCATATGCCATCTTTTATTTTATAAAGATCCTACAGCAAAAATACTGGCATAAATCCAAAGAGAGAAAGGCACATGAAACCCTACACCAGCCCCCATGCACTAGAGAATTACGATCAATGCATGCAAAGATTTAAAATGGCTTTTATTATTATAAATAGCAGTAAAAACACAAAAACAAGCAGTAAAGAAGCAGACTAAATCAAAAACAGAGAATCATGCAGGTTAAAAACAGTGAATTAAACATGCTAATAATCCAGAACCCTTTCCCACAACGATGACTGCACACATTCATGATGACCAAATGGTTACTACTACTAGGATAAACATTTACATAGTAAGTTTTTTTAGCATTTAATTTTTTATTATTATTACTTTTCAAACATGACCAGCAATTACAAAGTCTATTTAAAATAAATGTAAATATTATGGCTTTCACTGACAGGCCGAGCAAATTAGTGCTGAGTTTCATACAACCAATAAATAAGTAATAATCGTATTAATCATTAAATTCAAAAATAATTAGTAAATAAGTGACCCCATGCACACCACAAGAACATGCAAAGAAAATAACAGAACATAAAAAAGATACAAGGAGAGAAAATAAAAGCACACACCCTTCTCTGTTTAGAGTTACTCAACTGGATAAAGACCAGCTCTAAGCTAAATAATAAACTCTTCTGAACTATTCAACAAATGCAAACAAAACAATTGAATCACACAGCCAGTTAAATGATATATTAGCTCTACATTTCCCAGAGGCTGATAATACAAGATGCTATTTAACCTAACAACAGCTGTCGAACACACATGGTATAATTAGACATGTAATATCAGGCAATGTATTGTGACCCATGACCTTTATGGTCAAGTGAGACAGTTCAAGGTTCAGAGGTTACCTTCTTCTTGAAGCTCTGCTCCACCTCCCATAGCTGGGCATGTCTTTCAGACACAGCAACCTTCACCACATCCTGTTTTTTATTTATCCTGTTCCTCCAGTCTTCCTCTCCACTCTTCTTCAGCAGAGCCAGCCTGGAACAGACACAAACATATCAGTTTGTCTTAATCATAAAATGTGCTAGCAAGGCAGTCTTTTTAAAAGCATGCATTTTAACCGATCCTATAAATAAAACTGATGCCAGTAAGCCCCACAAACCACTATGCTCATGAAATGGACCTCCATTTAAAATGTATACAATTTCCTGAATAAATTCCATATTTAAAGTTGTATTTTTGGGAACTTCCCCAAGCCAATCTCAAACATCAGCATCAAAGGTGTTCAATGCATTTTTTTACTGTTTCTTTCATAGTCAAAGAATGTGTGGCTGAACTGTCTGTATGGAAATACAAAAGCAATGCATTTTGCAAGTCAAGTTAGTGAGGCAATTTTAACTGTTTATTTTAACATTTTACATTTTTTTTCCACAAACATTTTTTGTGAATCCAGTAACATTCTAATGTGCTAGATTTCAGCTTGGGCGGGTTAGACAGATACTCCCACTAGCCACTTTGGCTGGTTGGAAATAATTTCTAAACTGTAGTTTTCTTAAAAGCAGCGTTCGACAATAAAGATGGCCCAATATGCATGCAAATGTAATATTACAATCGAGAAGCAGCACAATTGACAAAAATAACTTTGCGTGAACAAAAGAAAACGGGGGAATAGCGAGGATGATCGCTTGCGTGCACAGGTGATGCACACGACTCAAAATGCGTGTGTTCCCATTTATTTGAGCAAAGCAACCATGCCTAGATGAAACACAACTGGTGCGATCGGTTCTCCTTAAAATAGACTGGAAAAAAAACGATGATCGTGCACACATAGTCCTGCTGCTTTCAAGAGCTCAATATTTAAAAAAAAAAAAAATATATATCCTTTTGTAAGCTGCAGCGGTCACTGCTTTAGTTTTAATTATTCTTTGAACAGATTATTAACAGGCCTAACATTAACCGTGTACGCATGATCATCCTTTCATCATCACTCATGTTATGTTTTTTTTTTACCCGCTTTCTTTTGCTTACAATTATTTTTGTTAATATAATTTAATTCTCTCTTTTTTATAAGAACATTGCTTTAATATGAGATTAACTCCCCATTTATGTGTAGCTAACGTGTAATCTGGGACCTTTAGCCAGGACAGATTACTGTGCATATTTTAGATCCATGACAATAGTTCTTTTTTAAATGTAATTTAAAAAAAAAAGAAAAATTGTTGAATTTTTGGACAAGGAGGCTAAAGACCATAGCCTTTAGCGTCTGTTGCTAGAGCACCTTTAGAGGTCAGAGGAGTGAAGTTTATCTGCACAGCACCTACTAGCCGGCCTCCGTCACACTCACTCCCCTAAACCTCCCTCCCATCCGGGTCACGGCACCAATTTAAACCCCAACGGTCCTACGCCACCCAACCTGATCCAAGCTGGGATCAAACCGGTGACCTTCCGCATGGGAGTTGGTTGATCTACCAAAGAGGCTAAAGACCATGGCCTCTAGTGTCTGTCGCAAGAGCACCTTTAGAGGTCAGAGAAGTGGGGTTTACCTGCACAGCACCTACTAGCTGCCCTCAATTACATATACAGCTATAATTTGCTTGCTTTTACACATTAAAAATTTGTGGCTAAAAAATAAAAAAAATTTTGGTGTGGTCAGAGATAAATTTATTAATTCCTAAATTTTGTGCCCTGAAAATTCAAGTGAAATAAAAACTGATTGCAATGCGACAACCCATTCGCTCATGCACATTGAGCAAGCTAATACACAACACACACAAAAAGTGAAACAAACGAGGAGGCTTGTGGACATAACACAAAATCTAAATCAAGTAATTGTAGCGTGTCAAAGTCAAATTTATGCACATGAAATAGATTTTCCCAACAACAAAAGTGTGGCTAGTGAAAAAGGCGAGCGGCAAGTAATGTTGGGAATCTACTAGACACAGAAGTTGGTGATCAAAAGTAATTGTTAAGCCCTGATCGTGACTAATGAACAAAATATACATTTGTATTTGCATAAAATATGTGCGTGTACAGTACATATTTATTAAGTATATACTGTATAAATCCACATGAATACAACATACACTGATAATTTTAAATACATTTTTACATACAATTTATTATACATAAATATTTTATATATAAATAAACATTTAGTATACATGTACATATACAGTTGAAGTCAGAATTATTAGCCCCCCTGAATTATTAGCACCCCTGTTTAATCTTTTCCCCAATTTCTATTTAATGGAGGGAAGATTGTTTCAGCATATTTCTAAGTATAATATTTTTTAAAACCTATTTCTAATAACTGATTTATTTTATCTTTGCCATGATGACAGTAAAAAATATTTTACTAGATATTTTTCAAGACACTTCTATACAGCTTAAAGTAAGATTTAAAGGCTTAACTGGGTTAATAAGGTGAACTAGTCAGGTTAGGGTAATTAGGCAAGTTATTGTATAATGATGGTTTGTTCTATAGACTACCGAAAAAAAATTAGCTTAAAGGGGCTAATAATTTTGTCCCAAAAATGATTTAAAAAAAAACTGCTTTTATTCTAGCAGAAATAAAACAAATAAGACTTTTTCCAGAAGAAAAAATATTATCAGACATACTGTGAAAATGTCCTTGCTCTGTTAAACATCATTTGGGAAATATTTAAAAAAGAAAAAAAAATCAAAAGGGTGCAAATAATTCTGACTTCAACTGTACATGGATGTGTGTATTTATAGAAATATACACAGAACCCACACAAAATATTATGTAAACAATGTTTTTATTTTGCATTTGGTTAATCGTTTAACGTCATTATTGACTTGTGCTTTGAATAAGTTTAAAAATAAGCTACTAGTAAATCTTACACAAATGAAAAAAGTAATTAACTTTTGATTGGGACTGTACAACTTAACACAACAAAAATATGTGAACAATATGTGCACTGCACACACACACACACACACACGCACGCACACGCACACGCGCACACACACACACAAAATAATAAGCATTAACAGTTATGCATATATCATCCTAATTCTCACATATTTGCACACACATGCACAACTGTCATTACTAATCAATTTAATCAGCTTGCGTCAGCTTGCTTCCTATGGCAACAGGCAGCGGTCTATCAGTTACACAATACTTTGATCTCTAACCAGATACATCCATACAGCTCTGAAGAACCTACAATACAGAGTAACACTACACTAGAATTTGTGACATTTTCTAATATCCGTCCGTCATTATCTGCGTGTTTACTTTTAAACTACAACACAAGAATGCAGGATGAGGACGTAACAGCAACATCACTGACCTAGTTCAAAGTCAAACTCTTTAATAAAACAACTTTGTGAAATATTATGCTACTAAAAGGAGATGCTCAAAGCGTTTAACCTATGTGTAAAATTTAAGAACAATGCAATCGACACATTCAAAAAGACACAAACATACTTTCCCCAAATAGAGTCATAATTGAACATCCACAAATAAAAATATAAGCGAGCCTCTATTACGCATTTCAGGAACCTCAGCTTTCTTGTCCTTGTCAGACATACTTTAACAATTGCAAAACAACATGCAATAACTCTAAATCAAACTAATTGTTAAATCAAACTAATAATTGTTAGTCATACTATGAAAAAATGCTATATTTTTGAAAGCCACTGTCTGTAACATCCTTCTGAATATCTTTTGTGTTCAAAAGATGATGAAAAAAATTAAACCAGTTTAGAACAAGTGGATGGCGAGTAAATTATCACAATTTTACACAACGATAAGTTTCAATACACTGTAAACTACAGGACTTTTATCCATTGAAAACAAAACTACAACAACAACTTTCAGAGAAATGATATCAGCAACTTCACCTCTCTTTGATGGACATCTGTCTGGCAGACATGACGTCCGAGAGCTCGTCTCCGTCTTCTGTTTTGAAGTCGCTCTCCTGCTCTTCCTCTCTGGTGTGGTCCTCATGGAGAGAATGGCTCTGTAATGCAGATACAGCAGCGGCAGTGTGTACAGGAAGATCTGTTGAACACAGACACAGGAAAGGGTTTAGAGCAGCTTCAGTGATACAATCAATAACAGCTCAGCGTCAGGCGGAGTCACCGCAGACCAACACTCTGACACGCGTTTAGTTCTGTCAAAACTGTGATGAATGCATGCGAACTGCTGCACAGGAAATGAGTGTCAGTTTCTAAGCATAAAAGGAGGCTTTGTTGATCATCCTGTGACAGTGTGGCTTACACAGACATCTTTCTGTCTTTTCAGAGAGAGGAGAGTTTAAAAATCAGCAGCCTGCATGACAGACCCAAAACAGGAAGACGGAGTAGAAGTAACTCGCATCACATCCTATACACACCTCTCTTTTTGTAAAGTCACAGAGATATCAGTAGACGGCACATGTGCAGCAGACACTGCGGGAAGCCATCATAACACGCTCACTGACAAAACAAACAGCACATGATGGGGATGAATTGTAAATGAGAGAAGGAGCTTCAATGTGACAAAGTATATTTTGATGCCGTTATAAATTTGGACATTATTAGTGAGGATTTGTGAAAGTAAGTTAGTTTACAGCAAGTTATTTAGGTCAGAGACAAAAATAATCACTTTTTTCCTTTAAAGTAAAAAATTCCAAGGGTATAGTTATATTTGCACATATTTATTGATCATACTAAAACAATGTGTAATTCCACACAAGTCATCTCAACTTTTTTGTTTACATTGTGTTTTAAAGATAAAAAAAATGACAGTTTTAATTGTCTTTATTTATTTATTTATTTATTTATTTATTTATTTATTTATTGTTTTAAACTTATCATTAAACCGATAAACTTACATTATCATTAATTTATTAGCTAATATATCAAATTGTGTAATAAGTCTTATAATAATAATAATAATAATAATAACAATAATAATAATAATAATAATAATAACTGTTCTCTGGTAAATGTGATCTTTGTATTACAAGTATTCACATTTCTTTTTCGCTCTGTAGTATAAATCATTAACAATGATATCAGATACATTCAACACATTTAGCAAACATCCAGCAACAGCTGGGACCTGACCTCTATGCCAGGGGTCTTTCTGCCCTATTTAGGGGCTCATCTTACCAAAAGCGAGGCGAGACTAAATTAAAAACCAAAGTAAGTAGATGTTTTAATCTATATATACATCTTCCTGTACATAGTTTTTTTTTCATATGTATTCTAAAAGAGAGAATACATAATCTGTATATACATTTGCACAAAGTCCAGTCCAGTACATGTACAGGAATGATATTGTGCCTTACATTTATTACAGCACAATTGCACCATTGCAGTTTTAAATGCACAGTTATCAGCACAACAAACGAAACAAAACATTGTTTCGCAGCAAAAGCACATAAAGCCTGTTCTCAAGCTACAGCAATCGGGAACTATTGCTATTATTTACTGCTATTTGCATAATGCAGGACTTAAATTAAAAGATTTTATTGTGGCTGTATGCTTTTCATCCAAACAAGATGCGTAAAAGATATGCCTGATCTTATCCCACAGGCACATATAGGGAAATAGATGCTGAAGAATTAGGACAACTAATTTAGAAGCTCTTCTTACCAAAAGCTAGACAAGACTAACCTAAAAACAAAAATAAGTAGATGTTTTGATCTACTGTATGTATACACCTTCCTGTACATATATTTCTTTTGAAATGTGTTCTTACAGAGATAATATATGAAAGTGCTACTCGCAAATTAGTGGTTTAGATCAGAGATGCCTAAACTAGGTTGACCCATGGTAACCTTTGATTTATGAGATTGAAAAAGGGAGAATGATTGGTATGGTTTAGAGTAAACATGGACTTGTATAAGATTTCGACGGTATAAAAATACCACGGTTTTATGGTATTGTTCTTACCGCTCTAAAATATGTTTTTTTTTTTTTTAATGTTTGTGTAAAAAAAACAAAATTTTTCCTCCTTTGAACACAATATATTTTATTTTAAGAAACATTTAAAATATTTTGAAACAGTAACCATGTCAGGCTAAATAATTCAAATGAATCATTGACTTCAGTCTTCATTAGTTTAAAAAAAAAACAGATTTCATTTCAATTCAAAAAGGAAATCTTTAGATATCTTTTCTGTTGGAGATACTGTTACAACAAAACAAAACAAAAAAACATAAATAAAAATCTTACATATACCTTAGGAACGCTATAGCAGAAAATTTTGGTGATTTTAAAAACGTGACTTTTCCAAACCGCAGTATACCTTGAAAACGGTTATCCCATGCCTAGTTTAGAGAGTCAATTCAAATTTAATGTAACCATTTATTTTTGCATTTTATTGTTGAGCCAAAAAAAATTAATTAACTGAAATGAAATATTTAAATTTCAATGCTGTAGTTTAGTTTAAGTTTTTCTTACACTCACCTGTCTGATAAAGGACAATGCAAATTCTGCTTGACTAGTGTATTTTGCATTGAACTTCACTGTGTTATAAATGTGATTGTTTATGTTATATTATGTTATATTTTAAGTTATAATTTAAAAATTATACTGCACTAGTAGCTAACATAATTCAAAGCAATGTTTTCTACTTGTTTTTAAATCTTATGAAATAAATTAGGTAATGACCCATGGCAACTTTAATGTAAAATAGTTTGGTATACTTATCTTCGGCCCATGACTCTCAATGATATTTGGTTTTTGGCCCTTCATACAAAGTTTGGACACCCCTTTTTCAGACTAATTAAAAGATTAAATGTTTAAAAGCAAATTCTATAATTTACTCAAATTATAGTTTTTGTACTACTAATATCAATAATATTCCTTTTTCTTTTTCTCAAACACCACTATAATCATTATTTTTTATTAATAATACATATTTATTATTATTATTATTATTAGCATTATTATTATTATTATTATTGTGACCATTATTAAATAAGTTCAATAGTACAACACCTATATTTCTTTATTAATCTCTTTATTTTTTATCTGAATGGATAGACTAATTTAGCAATGTTGTGTTTACTGTACACTGTAAAGTGTCTTGAATTGGTTCTTCCTGTATTTTAAACAAAAATTATACGTTTTAATGACCGATCACATTTCTCAAGACCAGCAGGTATAGCATACTCCCCCCCCCCCCTTACTATGTTGTAAGGGGTTGTTTAAAATACAAACAAACACACTGATGTTCCTCTACCTGTTGTGTGCTCTCCATCTGTTTGTGAAAGGTCTTGAGAGGTCACCGCCACAGCCTTACTGTCCCAGTCTCTGGCCGGCTGAGCATGCGGTGTCCGTTTCACGCTGTCTGGGGAGGGAAGCTTCCTCTTCCCAGTGCTCAACAGCAGCCTTCCCCCTTCAGCCAGACTCTGATGTGTCTGGATGTCATGGGCAGGCTGAGGGTGATGCTGTGGAGAAACGGTCTGCTCATAATATGCAGGCCCAGATACATTTGGCATGGTCAGATGGATGTCGCCCGCATGTTCAGTGGAAACAGTGGAGGATCTCATGGCTGAGTTGGAGCTGGGTGCAAAACGAGCTCCACCTGCAGGCTGAAACTATGACAAAAGAGAAGGATGGAGAACAGGCGGAGATAGAAAGTGAAGAAGGAAAAGGTGTGAGAATGAGCATTTTGAGAAAGAGGAAGATCATGATGGGATAGGATGAGAAAAAAAAAAAAAAGAGTCAGCGTGGACAGAAGACTAAACATTCACCAAGATTTCATGAGCACAAACACACACATACACACACTTTGATCATGCTGAGTAATCAGTGTGTGACTTCCTGGGGCTCAAAGACAAGCGTCAGAATAACAAAATCATTCACAAAGCCATGCCCATTATACACTGAAGCGTTCCCAACATGACCTCAGAAACAGACACAGTGAATCACAGACACGGTCGATACAACTATACTGTGTCAGCAGGGCTTTGGGCAGAGCTCTGGGACACATTCAGAACAAGAGCATTGACTTCCAAATGAAGTCCATTCAGCAAAATGATGGTAATTGCAGTGACGCATTTCTGCTGTTGTCTCAAAACCACTTAAAAAAATAAACATCCCATTTATTCTTTAGGGAATTAACTAATCATGAACCACCTTCATTGACATTAGCAGAACCATAAGACTTTCCCTGGAGAAACTGCTTGGTCACATTATACATGCGATGTGGTTATTTTAAGAGTATATTATTATTTAAGAGAAAGGATACTAAGCAAAAGTAACGAATCAAACATTTCGTTTTACATAAGAAATAATAAACCAAAAGTGTATATGTACAGATAAAGTCAAAATTATTAGCCCCCGTTAGATTTTTTTTTCTTTTTTAAATATTTCCCAAATCATGTTTAACAGAGTAAGGAAATTATCACAGTATGTCTTATAATATTTTTTCTACATCTGAAAGTCCAATTTGCTTCATTTCGACTAGAATAAAATCAGTTTTTAATTTTTTTAAAAACATTTTAAGGTCAAAATATTAGCCCCTTTAAGCATTTTTTTTGATAGTTTACAGAAACACCCATCGTTATACAATGACTTGCCTAATTACCTTAACTTGCCTAATTAATCTAGTTAAGCCTTTAAAAGTCACTTAAAAGAAGATAAAATAAATCAGTTGTTAGAGATGAGTTAATAAAACTATTAACCCTGTTAAACAGAAATTGGGGGAAAAAATAAACAGTAGGGCTAATAATTCTGACTTCGACTGTATGTAAAAAATATTTAATGTTATATTAAAAATGTATTTAGTTAACTTATTCACTTACTAAAATAGATTATAATTTTCACTGAGTTTAAAACGAAAAGAAATAAACATTGAAAATCAACAAAATCTGCAAAAATTTACAAAACTGAACTTGAACAAAATTTAGGTGAAAACAGAACAAAGAAAAAACATTTTTACAACAAAAGATGTCTGATTATTCATAAGTGTGCACACAATAAAAAGCGCAATCAGTGACAAGTTGCTTTTACTTAATAGTTTCAAGTTATGCATTTTTTTTTAAAGTTGATGTAACTTAATTTTTAGAGCTATGCACAGTTCATTTACTCAATTTTAAGGCAATGAATTTACTCACCTTTTTAAAAAGTCAACTAATTGCTTTAAGTGAGTTAGCCGTTGCTTAATAAAAGTAAAGTCAACAAATTAATTTTACAGTGTAAGTGCACAACTGCTCCATATGCAACACTTTTTTAGGTTAATTTGTTTGTATAATATCCGTATTGACCTTATTCTAAAATATGCGCACCTGTTTTTGAGATTGTTTTAGAAGTTCAGATTCAGTCGCTTATGGGAGAAATGACTAGGAATTCTAAACGGCAGAAAACGGTCAAACTTGCTTAAACAAATGTTAATGCATGACTATATAGACCAAGTAGAATAATGTAATAGGAAAATGTCAGTTTGCAACATCAAGCACCGTAACGAGCTGTTTTTAATGTCTAAAAATGAATGTCAGTGAATGAGACTGGAAGTCTCAAGCCAAAAAGATTCAAATGGCTGCACCCGCTCGTACGCTGAAAATAAGATGAATAGTATTGACCTAAACTGTTAAAATGTTGCAATTTCAGACTGATTTTCACAAGTTTCAAAGCCTACTTCAAATTTATGCAAGTCACATGCTAATTCAATCTGTTTTCTCACTGAAGTGCACCAGTTTATAGTTTAAGACACATTTCCATTATTAAAATGTATGCAAGCTTCTGTTTCCAGCTGATCCATTTATACATTTGCACACAGTACAGTCCAGTACAAATACAGGAATGATATTGTGTTTTACATGTATTACAGCACAATATTATTCCAGTTTTAATTGTACAGTTATCAGCACAATAAACAAAACACTGTTCCACTGCAAAAGCACAACGAAACAGCAAAGCTTGTACTCAAGCTACAGCAATCAAGTACTACTGTATATTTGCATAAGGCAGCACTTAAATCCAAGCCTTAACAGATTTCATTGTGGCTGTATGCCTTTCATCTAAACAAAATGCCAAAAAATGCCTTTATCCTACAGGCACAAATATATGCTGAAGCATTAGGACGACTGTTTCTAAAACGGGGAATGATGGTTTTACTGCAGGCAGAGAGTAAAACCTCAGGACCTATAAGAAATCCTCACATGTTCCAGATCACTGAGACCCATTGAGAACTCAGATTCCTCATCGAACATCTCAGAACCAGAACCATCCTGCATCAGAGACAAACCCCTTTAAAAGCTCAGTCATTTGTGTGTGTGTGTGTGTGTGTGTGTGTGTGTGTGTGTGTGTGTTTTAGTGCAGAAAAATAAAATATCCCAATATCAGATTTTTCCAAATAAATTAATAAAAATATTTTATTTATTTTTACCTGTTAAACATTTTTGGAGAAGTTAATAATAATGATATTATTACTATTGTTATTACTATAACATTGGAATATAAAGTAAAGATTAATAAATATCAGACTCTCTTATGAGTTTGGGTGCTAATCAAATTTGAGGTGCTAAACAATTTTCAAAATTAATAAAAAAAAAAAAGTAAACCTACTTTTATCTACAGAAATTTTGTGACTATGTTCTTAAAACAGTAGTTTTACAGTAGTTTAAAAGTTACTTTTAAAAAAAGAAATCTTAATAAATAAACAAATACACTTTTAATAATGGTAAATTTTCAAGTTTATATTACATCCTAAATACTTGCATTCTTTTTAATTGTCCCACAGAAAATATTTTTTTATAAAAATTATACATTTTTTGAAGGATTTGCATTTAAAAAATACTTGATGTTTTAACAATAACAGATGCATTTAATAACTTTTTATATTTTATCTAACAAAAAATGCATTCGTTAGGCTACTTTACAACTTTATTGCTTATTTTAATCAGTTCTCTTTAATATTTTCAGTGATTAATCAACCAAAAGTATGCACACACTCAAACCCTACACACTCATGTGCTTGACTGATAATAATTCAAGACTTCAAAAAATTTACTAAACAAATACAATTATCACTATTGCATAATTAAATATGGTTAAAAAAAGTTAAAGATATGATGTGTACCTGTTCGACTTCTCCTAGTGTGATTGGTTGAGTCTGATAGCGTGCGTTACTCCTCCGTGCACGTGTGTCTCCTCTGGCCCTAGAGCCATGGCTGGACGGCTGGGCAAGGCGGTTAAAAAGTGCCATCTTTTCTGCTAGAGTGAGTGTGGAAAGGTCTGGCTCCTCGTGTCCGCCTTCCCCCGGAGAAGCGTGGCGAGCTCGATCTGTCTCCGTTGCCTCCTGAGCCAGACGAACCTCTCTGGCCTGCTCTCTCACCATGGAGCTTTGCTGAGACGAAGCCTGCAAGCTGTAGGACACACACACAAAATCACTTGTAGGACTGGGTGACTCCATGTACTAGATATAAATCAAAACAATAGTAAAGAAATTACAGTTTTATCATGTTAGATTGAACACGCATGCAAGTCTCAACTATACAAGCAAACAAAATTCATATTACAATAAGAATAGTGTAAAAATATAACCATATTTTGGGATGTGCAGTTTATTTCAGTCCATTTATCCACACAAATGAATAAATGTTTGTGTTATGATTTTTATAAATAATGTTCAAAGGTTAGCCAAAACTGTTAGCCTGTGAATATATATATATATATATATATATATATATATATATATATATATATATATATATATATATATATATATATATATATATATATATATATATTATATACACACACACACACACACACATACACATACACATACAGTTGAAGTCAGAATTCTTAGCCCCCCTTTGAATTGTTTTTTTTCTTTTTTAAATATTTGTTTAACAGAGCAAGGAAATTTTCACAGTATGTCTGATAATATTTTTTTCTTCTGGAGAAAGTCTTTTTTGTTTTATTTCGGCTAGAATAAAAGCAGTTTTAAAAAATTTTAATCACCATTTTAAGGACAAAATTACTAGCCCCTTTAAGCAATTTTTTTTTCATTAGTCTACAAAAAAAAAAAAACATCGTTATAAAATAACTTGCCTAATTACCCTAACCTGCCTGGTTAACCTAATTAACCTAGTAAAGCCTTTAAATGTCCCTTTAAGCTGTATAGAAGTGTCTTGAAAAAATATCTAGTCAAATATTATTTACTGTCGTAATGGCAAAGATAAAATAAATCAGTTATTAGAGACGAGTTATTAAAACTATTATGTTTAGAAATGTGTTGAACAAATCTTCTTTCTGTTAAACAGAAATCGGGGAAAAGAAATAAACAGGGGGGCTAATAATTCTGACTTCTGAATAATTCTATATATACAATAGTTGCAATGATGAATTTCTAATAATTTTGCCTTTGACTGTATGCCTTCATTTTAAGCTTATAGCAGCATGTACAGACAAACTATTTATGCAATTTATATATAAACAATTTTATTAAATGAGGGAAAAAATGCAATTCAGTAATGTAAAAGAGATTCATATGGAGTCAATCTAGGGCCAAATATACTTGGAAAATAAAAGAAAGTTTTGCAAACAAAGTATTGAGTAAAATATCAAATGCAAATGCCAAAGCCAAAATTTATTTTTAATTTAAAAATAAATAAAATAAAAAAATTAAGCAGTGCATAAAAATCTATATATTTGCATCATTGTTTATAGGTTGCCTTCACAAATTCAACCGTGAGTTTTTACATGCTGTTTGCACCTAACATTTCTGTGTTTCACTTTGTGGCCATGATTTGACAAGGGGGCGGAGTCAAAACGTGGGCATTTATGGGCAGCCTTTTAAAATATTTTTTTTATTGGAAATGCAAAATCCAAATACAACAAAATGGCATTCAACTTTACAATTTATGTATCACACATAGAAGGCTCAACACCAAATGATATTAAAAAAATACAAAAAGTGAAAATTACAAAAATCTTTTTAAACTAAAATAAAATTTAGAACAAAAAAAAAAAAGAGAAAGAAATCAACATAAAGCTGTCATTTGCTTAAATGGAGGCAAGTCCGGGTCTGCCGTAAATCCCCAAGTTCCCTTTGACTACGCCCCCTTGTCAAATCAGAGCCACAAAGTGAAAGGCACAGAAACGTGAAGTGCAAAAAGAAAACAGCATTGCAAACTCACTGCTGACTAAAGAGCAAATCAAAATAAGCATTGCAATTGACTGGATGGGTTTTGTAAAGGCAATGTTAGAAAAATGTTTTGCAAATATATGTAGTTTTTTTATTGCAAATATTTTAGCTTTTTTTTGCAATTTTTTTGCAGTTTTTTTTTGTTTTGTTGCAAATTTCACTTTTATTTCTTAAAACTTATTTTTCCTTTGCAGTTTATTTTATTTGATAGCAAAAAAAAAAAAAATCAGATTTTTGAAGATTTGAGTTTGTTTATTTTTTGCTTGCAAAACTCTTTCATTTTGCAGGTATATATGACCCTAGATTGACTCTATAAACCCAGACCCAGTTTTGGTAAACCGTTTCTATTTTGTGACTTTATAAAACATTACTGACATTTTGCAAAGTAATATAAGTTAAAATATACTACTAGTTAAACTGTTCAACATATACTGTAGCTCAGGATCAGTTCGATTCTACTTAAGCACCACAAGAGGGTGCTGCTTGTTAATTTTTTTACCTTGCAAAATAATCCTCAATCTTTAAAAGGATAATTTCCTTAACTTCCTCAAAATTTCTTCTTTAGTTTTTTTTTTTTTTTGCTAAAGAAGCAAAACATTTGGAACCCCTTAAGGGTAAGTAATGACTAGTAAATTCTCATTTTAGGTGACCGGCCCCTTTAATATAAACACTACTAATCAAAGGGTTGAGCTAACTCAATCAAGCAGGTGAAATGGTGAGTGCACATTTTTCTTGACGTAAGATATATTTACATGTGAACACGCAATGCATGCTCAGTGACAGACATTAGTATTGATAAGAGTGATCATGCCTGTATTTCACATATATGTGCTCATGTGAGTGTTTATGTTTGTCCTGGGTACCTGTGTTTGGTCACAGAGGTGCTGACTAGAGTGGGACTAGGAACGCGCGTTATAGAGGTTTGTAAAGTCACGGACTGTGACAAATGGCCAGGGGCACTTTAAACCACACAGAGGAGGAGGCAAAGAAACAGAGACAAAGGGAAAAAACTGAAGAAAACAGATCAAAACTACATACAGTACACCATATGAAGGAAAAGGAAGAGAAAGACAATTAGGAGGAACACAGCATTAAAGGATTAGTTCACGCAAAACTAAAAGTAAATAATAACTCACCCCCGTGTTGTTACAAACTCTTGAGACCACAAATTCAGATGATTAAGATACAAAGCTCCCTCATCCTTCATAGACAGCAATAATTCCAAATCATTCAATATCCAGAAAGATACCAAAAAATAAATCCTCAAACAGACCAAATGCTTTTAGTAGATCAATCTGAATATTATCATTATTATTACTTTGTGAGTGTGTGTGTATGTGTGAAAAAATTGATTTTGTAGCTTCCTAATATTCCAGCTGACACAAGGACCGTTTTTACAATGTTGTTTGTACTTTGAGTCAGGGCCAGCGCTGTCTATTCAGAATGAGAGAGCTCTCAGATTTCATCTAAAATATCTCAATTTTCAATGTTCTGAAGATGAAGGAATGTCCCGGTGGTTTGAAAAGACAATAGAGTGAGTAATTATTGACAGAATTTTCATTTTTGGGTGAACTATCCCTTTAACAAGAGCACACCTATTCCAACGTTCCTAACATTTGCTTTTTATAAAATGCTTATACTGTATACCATTCCTAAATTTGAGGTCAGTTTAATTATATGAAGTAATACCAAGAGAACATTAAAGTGATTTAAAGTTATAGTAAATATAAATATTTTTACATATATTTTATTTTTAAAAATTCTATTTTAAATTAATGCTGCTCTTTTTAACACACAAATATAATTTAGAAAAAACAATGAGCACATTAAGCAGTATAACTGTTAGCCTTACTGATATAAGAAATGTTTCTTGCCATCAGTTAAGTAAAACTGTAATAAAACTGATTGTTTTTATTTAAAATAATAATAATAATAATAATAATAATAATAATAATAATAATAATAATAATAATAAAAAATTGTCAAATAAATTAAAATACAATAAACATCTTACCAACCCCAAATTTCTGAATGGTTGTTTTAATATTTTAGAAATCTTTTAGAAATCTTTTAAATGTTTATGTAATTCAAGGCAAGTTTACGTACATAGCACACTTCGTACACTATAGTAGAGCTGCACAATACATCATTTCAGCATCGATATCGCAATGTGATCGTTGTCAATAGTCACATCACGAGTATACGTAATGTTGAGTCTGGATTGCAGTTTATCATTTTGCAAGTGTTTTTGAGGCCTGTGACTGTGTGAGAGTTTTAAAAGGATTCAGGTATAAGAAATTGCACCGTTTGTAACTTTGAAAAATGAATAGCGATTTACATTATTGAATTGTTTGGTCACACTTTATGATAAGGTTTCATTATTAGTTAGTATTAACTAAGGTGAAATAATTATGAACAGTGCTTATACAGCATTTATTAATCATAGTTTAACATTTACTAATGTATTAGCAACATCCAAATTCATGCTTGTTAGCATTAATTCACCATGAGTTAACATGAAAAAACAATGAACAACAGTGTTTTCAATAACTAACGCTAATTAAATGAACAAATAGTGTCATAAATGTATTGTTTATTGTTTGTTTATATATGCATTAACTAACATTAACTAATACAACATTATTGTAAACTTTTACAACTTGTTTATAAAACGAAGACTCTGCCATTTTACATTTAATTATTCAATTACTGCATACCTTGGAAAACAACAAGACACCGTTTATTTAATTTGTATCTTTTTCTCTATTAGATTTATCTACGCTTCTAGATTGTTTATTATATTTTATGCACTCCCCTACAGAATCATCCAAGTCACCCTAAAAAATTATCTAGTGTAATTGTATTCATAACTAATACAGTATGTATTGCAGAATAAAAAAATATTGCAAGATTTTTCCAATATCGTGCAGCCCTAATTCAAAGTGCTTTGCATAAACAGGAATAAAAGAAACAAGTATAAGAAAATGAAAACAACAAGGTATGAAAATGATTAAAATGGATTAAAAAGTATTAAAAATAGGTTTTAATGGAATGAGAAAGCAAAGAAAAGACATAATAGTTCATATTAGTTCAACATGTCGACTGTAAATGTTGAATAGGTCAAACTGTAACCATGTTTTTGCAAAAAAAATAAAAAAGGCCTCTCTTGAACTATTGAACGGGTCGCATGGGTCACACAAACTTACGTAGCAGCAATAACTACTTCCTCTGTGGTGACTGGCTGAGTGCGGGATCGATCTTGACCTCTCCTCAATCTCCGCTCAACAGCAGGATTACGACTCCATGTCTTTAAAACGGAACCATCTGAAGTCTTTTCAAGCTCCTAAGAAACAGTAAAACGTCATATGTAAAAATCTCTACACTGTGACATACTATAATAATAATAATAAAACTGTTAAGATAGAAATTCTAGAAATGTTTTCCCTTTTCAGTCACACTCACTAAATTGTTTTTTGGTCACATTTTTCACATTTTCAGATGTCACTTTTGAGGAATTTAGAAATATGCATGATATGATAATTGCAGAGTTACGGACTGAGGTGTGTCCTCTTTGCGCACCTCTTGGAATGCAAAATTGTATAAACACGTAGCACCACAGACAGGATTCATTTGAAAACCAAAACATCTAAGCGTAGGCAAAGCTGGTAGTCATCAACAGCATGTTCTGAACGAACCCAAAGGCTATTTTTTAAACAACTGACACCAAAAGAAAATGTAAAATAGCACTGAATCCATCCTTCATGGATAAGCCTGTCCCAGAACGCACTAGGACAAGCTCAAAGATATATTTCATTTTCATTCAGATGGCAGGATGACAAAATTGCATATTTTTTACAGCACAAAAATCATCAGAAGACTGGTGGCATCTCATTTAAACTGCAGCATTTCACCAAACATTGATGTCTTTTGAATTTGTTAGCATAAACTATAAGCTGTAGTTGCTTTGTATATATGGTTTGTGTAAAGGGGTAATATTTATTTCAAATAGACAAGTTTATACTAATGGAGGATGTTTCAATAAAGGCCACCTTAAAAGGATGATGGCCAGGATGCTCTCTATGAAGAAAGGAAAAAACAAGGGAAGCAGCTCACTTTGGATCAGACACATTGAAGCAGCACATACCCTGAAGAGGGAACGCTTGGCAGCTACGCTCAGCTTTGCTCTCTCATCTAGTTTCTCTTCATCCACTGGAAAAACACAAAAAGAATAGAAGAAAAAGAATGAGTCAGAAGCCTTTTCATATATTTTTTGAAACTCCATGACTTTCAGAGGACAGCACAATGCTAAACACATAGCAGAAAGATTATGCAAGCAGATTTTTGCTTCTATGCTATGATTCAGGTTTAACTTATAAAAGCCACAATAGTGCAAAATCCATTGTTGCATATTGCACGGTGTGTGTTTTACACATTTAGCATGAATGATGGTGCATAAAGTCTTATAATTTAAGCTAAACCATTTGCTCACAAAACAATTAAGGATTTACGCAAAAATATCAAGGATATAGTTTAAACTTTGCAGAATATGAATAAAAAGTCACTTTTTATTAAAAGATAAAGGCAGCACATTAAGATACAGTAATACACTAATGTTTAAATATTTGATGAAAATGACAATAAAGACATTAATAATGCTGCAAAAGACTTTAACAAATGATATTCCTTCAAAGAATCCTTACATTTACCATGGTTTTCCAAAAAGAAATGAAACAGCAGAACCATTTAAACACTAATAAATAGGGCCGGACAGAATCTGGTGAGGTTTTTTTTTTTTTTTTTTTTTTTGCTGTTTTTAGAATTTTTGTAAAAAAATCTGTAGATTTATGCGGAATGATTTCGGGAGTAACATAACTAAAAACTTAATACATGAAATAAAAAAATAACATCACATTTTTAACTTTTCTTTAATGTTAACATTGCAAACCAAATTAGCTCCACTTATTTAGTAAACAAAGCAAGTCTCTCATAGAATAAAGAGCATTTGGATTCCGGAAAGTATTCATAGCGCTTCACTTTTTTTTTACATTTTTTATGTTACAGCCTTATTCCAAAATGGATTTAATTAATTTTTTTTTCTTAAAATTCTACACACAATACCCCATAATGACCATGTGAGAAAAATTTTTTTTTTGAAATGCAAATTTTTTAAAAATAAAAAACTTTTAAAAAATCACAAGTATTCACAGCCTTTGCTCAATCCGTTGTTGATGCACCTTTGGCAGCAATTACAGCCTCAGGTCTTTTTGAATATGATGCCACAAGCTTGGCAAACCTGTCTTTGGGAATTTTTACCAATTCTTCTTTGCAGTACCTCTCAAGCTCTATGGATGGGAAATGACAGTGTACACCCATTTTTAGATCTCTCCAGAGATGTTCAATAGGATTTAGGTCTGGGCTGTAGCTGGGCCACCCAAGGACATTCACAGAATTGATGTAAAGCCGCTTCATAAAAATTTTGGCTGTGTGCTTTGGGTCATTGTCCTGCTGTAAGATGAAGCGTTGTCCCAGTCTGAGGTCAAGAGCACTCTGAAGCAGGTTTTCATTTAGGATGTCTCCGTACATTGCTGCATTCATCTTTCCCTCTATCCTGACTAGTCTTCCAGTTCCTACTGCTGAAAAACATCCCCACAGCATGATGGGGATGCTGAAAGATCTCAAGAATGATCAGTGGAAACAGAATGTACCTGAGCTTAATTTAGAGCTTCACAGCAAAGGCTGTGAATACTTATGTACATGAGAAATTTCAGGTTTTTTATTTTTAATAAATTTGCAACCATTAAAAAAAGAAACACTTTCACATTGTCATTATGGGGTATTGTATGTCGAATTCTGAGGAAATAAATAAATTTAATCAATTTTTTAATAAGGCTGTGACAAAAAAATGTGGAAAAAGTGAAGCGTTATGAACACTTTCCGGATGCACTGTATGTTTACTACAAGACAGAAAATAATACTTTACAAACTGTATTCTAAATAAATCATGTGAACGTTTTCATATCAGTCAATAATATTACTAAAATTAATTTAAAAACTGAATTAATATAAATTTAAGTAAATAAATAGATTCAATGATGGGCTCAAAATCTGTGATAATCTGCAAATTTCTGCATGCACAGATTCCATGTGGGCCTACTTATAACTAAAGTTTCTTATGCTGTAGAAAAGTTTGCTAAAAAGTCACCAAAAAATGTTATTTATTTAAAAATAAAATATTACAACTGTAAATGTTGTATTAAACTTTAATAGCATTAATGTTTCTCAAATAAATCAAATAAAGGCAACATTACCAATCTATTTTAAACTGTATTTTATGTTTGTTTCAGTAAAAACGAAAACACTGCATAGTGAGCTGACAATGCTTACACATGCAGCAAAGATAGAAACGCAAAGCAATACTAGTTTTACCAGAGATCCAGAGGCTCCAAAAAAGTAGGTCTGTTGCTCTCTGGAGTATTCATGGGTACTCAGCCAAACTGCACAGTCAACTGCTTCAGTTTACACTCACAGAGCCATGTTTTTAAAGAGCTTTTGTAAGTTAAACCTCTTTCCGGTTTAGACTTAAATTAACAATACCATATAATATGCAAAATCATGCCTGTTTATGCTACTGTAACTTATGTAATGTTACAGTGTCATCCTGCCCCTTTACATGCTTATAATGTTCAGCTATTAAGTCACACTAGCAAGCTTTATTTGCGGTCTATTTTAAAATGTTATAATAGAAAGTTATGCTACATTAAACTTGGAAGTGATAAGACATCTTGTAGCGCGTGCATAAAAAATTGAGACTTACCCTCAGGGCTTGATGGTTCAGAGCTTAGATGAGACCTAAAAAGACCACAAAAAAGGTCTAAAGTTTAGAGTTTAAAAAACAGATCATTTTCCTTAATAAAAAATATTCAATATTTGGTCAACCAGCCGATTTGAAAATAAAAAAAAGATAAATAAATTAGCAATAATGAGCAGACAAATGCAGCAGAATGAGGAAAATAAAGCAACTATGGTGAGAAGGCGGAGAAAACACAGAAAATCAGCACTGCTTAATCCACAGCGTTAGACAGAATTATAGATTTCACCACATGCCACAAAACAGAGGACGAAAAAACAAAACAAAAGAACCTTTCATGAAAATCACTGACCAAACTTTTGGATTAGAATCCACTGCACATGAAAACATTACACAGTGTGTAAAATGGCAAGACAGCATTACATAAGGAGCAAAATATTAACTAATCAGTGCACTGCAGTGCAGTTAGAACTACAGTAGTGCTAGTTTTTCTTCCAGTCAAAGTGCTCTAGGTTATCATCAAGTCAAAACATTATTCATCATTAAGTTAAAACATTATTTATTAGGCTAAATCAAGTGTGTTTTTTAATTTGCACTCCAGTAACGTGCATGAATCTCATGTACACTCGTGAGGCCTACCGGTCCGACTGCTCACGCTCGGTTGATGTGATTGGCTGTGTTCTAAACCTCTCAGATGTCTTTCTACTTTCAGTGGGACATATATATCGCAAAGGGCGACGAGATGACCGATCTCTGACTCGCATGCTTCTCCAGGGTACATCTGTAACTGCAGGCAGCTCTTCTGCCCTATTATGCCACAAAGTACGACTGAGCGAGGAAGAATGGCAAGTAGGCATGAAAGAAAAAGCAAACTTCTAATGCAGGGGAAACTTTTCATATACTGTAGCATCTTTATAGTAGGTTAAATAAAAGACAGACAACAAGAATGGTTAAGGATTATTCCCTTTTAGCATAAACATACACAATCATCTCTAGAAAGACAAGGTTGACAAAGTAGGATAAGACGTAAAACAGACAGAAGTGGTTAATTATTATGGACAAAGTGTGCACTAGACAAGCTGAGCAGCACAATAGCTGAAGGAAAAGAGCAGTGCAATCTACTGGTCAACTCTGAGTAAGTGACTCTTGTTAGATTACAGTTTTCTCTTTCGTTTCACTCTCCAAACAGCTATTAGATGAGTATTTGATTAACTGCATGTTAATCGTCATGTTAGACAGGTTAGTAGTCTATGGATGATGATAATGTACCACCACCTACAGTTCGGCTTTCCGGGGACTTGCAACACTTTGCAGGTATGTGTGGCGGAGATGGGCTACTGAAACCCTGGCATCATGGGACAGGTGATCACCATTTGGCACTTTTTCTTGTTGGACAGCCTCTCTGATCGGCTCCTGGATGGGGAGAACAGTTTTTTGTGTATTTCCAGTATCCATGGGTTTAGATGAATTTGTATTTGGTCTTGCACTGGAGGTCTGGATTGGGGCGCAGCAGCTAGCATCAGGCCTTCTATGAGCTTCTCGAGCTCTTGCCTGCAAAGACTCTGCAGCCTGAAGTCGAGACACGTGCTCTGTATAAACTTCCCGTCTTGCCCAACTTCCATGCCACCCTCTGGGGTCATTTGCAGCACCCTCGCTGCTCCTGTGCCCAGCAATAGCTGAGCTTACCTCCCTGTTGTCACCACTTCCAGAGCATGAATCGTCTGTGTTCCGTTCCTTCCTTCGAATCTCAGAAGGTAAAACTGCCTTTCTGCTCCGCAGAAGACCTTCAGTCCTCGCAACATGTTTTCCCTCCATTTCTTCAACCACCTCCTGAATCTCTTGCTTATTCCTGGAAGTGGATTCGCTGCCCATGGAGAAGTAACTCTGGCAACCCATATCATGGCGTTCCTCTTTTTCAGAACGGGTCAGTTGCTGCTGTTTGACAGGACCATCTAGGAGGCTCCGTGAGTGAGGGTAATAACGAGGATATGACTGGTTGTAAGCATGTTCCTCTGTTGTTTGACCCCTGTGAAATGGCTCATCGCGGGCCAGTCGCTCTCTAACTCTGATTCTTCAGAAGGAGAGAAAAGGGTTGGTTACTTAGAATTAAATGGAGTTCAATAGTCACCGGCTCTGAAAACAAATAATTAAACAACTAAACAAATAAAGAAAAACAACAGAACTTTTATTTTATGGGCCTGGATGTAAAATTGGCAGCAAAAAATTCCGATCCAATCCAAAACAACCCTTAAGCCACAGAACTAGTTGAAGCATCTCAGTATGGTTTGTGCTTTTTAGAGTGGTTAAAAAAGCAATGTTGACAGTGTTTGGAATAAAAAACACCGACACCATTACTGTGCCCTAAAGTTGATGTTTTCAGTGGTTGAAATAATGAGAACCACATGAAAATGGTTGTGCTCACTGTAACAAAATCATGAAGCAAAACACAGGAACGCTGATATTTGAAACAACTTTATAAAGTCTCAAAATAGGAGTTACAGTCAAAACATTAAGCAAATATCCTTTTATTGGATTAGGGTTTTTTTGACCACCAATTGATGCCTAAAATATAATTGCTCCATTCCTAAAATAAAAAGGGCAGATATATTATAATTAGCCATTTATGTTGTGCGAGGGGAAAAAAAAAAGTGTAAAAACAAAGTAAACTTGTTAAATAATTATGTTAATCTTAAGTTTAAGAATATTTTATGTACATAGTAACAAAGCTAAATTAACTAATTAAACAATAACATGGAAAATATATAATCTGTATTAAATGAAATATTTTCTAAATGTTTTTTTTTCTTTTTTAACTCTGATTTTTTTGTACATACGCAGCCTTTCCAGATGGAGTTTAGCAACATTTTCACAAACAAACTGCCTAAAAATACAACTGATGCTGCTTTGTGTTTTCTAAATCAGTTTCTCCCCATGTATCTTCCTATAAATGTGTAGCTATGGGTATCCTAACACCCAGCTAATTTCACACTACACAGCGTTTCATTGCATGCTGTGTGTGAGAGGTTTGCTGATAAACTAGCTTAGTTTGTGATGACTGGATCTTTAGGTTTAGGTCAGCAAAATCAATGCTCTCTGCAGGGAGAGGCAAAAGACCATCTCATCCAAATCCTTTTGCAGTTAGTGCACTACCAGTGAAGTAAATCACATTAAATCACATAGAAAACATCCCATAATGCCTCTAAGAGAAGTTTGTTTAACGCAGGGTTACAGAACTCTGTTTTTGTTTAACTCTTCCTTTTGCACACATTCCCCCACAGTAAAGCTTGATTCTTCAAAAACAACCATTCAGTCATGCCCTATTTATGTCTAACATGACGGATGTTTGCTTTCCTATCATGTTCAGTTCAATCCCACACTTATCTGACAACTAAAAGCCATTTTTCTTGACCCAAGCTCGTTTTATTCCATCTATTCACTCACTCTTGGATTTCACATATGGTAATGTGCACTCTGTGGTGCTCCATTGGACCCCTGTTTAGGTGAAACCAAGATATACACTCTAGTTGTTGAGTCGTGATCTATTTGTAACCTCATTTAAGTGAAGGACATTTTCAAGTGAAAACTAGAAAGTGCAAGTGATAAAATGTGGCCAAATATTTTGTTTGTTCAAAAAAATGTAGGTAGATGGGTGGATAGGTGGAGTCAGACATGGGCACAGTGGCTACAAATATACAGACAGATATAAAGACAAATGAACAGATAGACAAACAGACACTGTAGACAAACAAATCAAAAGAGGCAGCCAATGTAAATAGATAAAATGGACAGAGAGACATACACTGTGGATAGATGTATACATAGATTGATGGATGGATGGATGTATACATACTGTAGATAGATGGATACATAATGTAAGCACACCTAATTAAACTATTAAACTAGTAATGTCTGCAGAGCAGTTAAAAAGGTAGAATGAGAGGAAATGGGGGGAAAAAAAGAGAAACTGATGCAAAATGGGAATACAATTTGCTTGTGAAATGACTCCCGGAAAACTTGGCTCTCGTGTTTTGCATGACTAATCAGGTTATCACACTCTCCATTTGGCATATTGAGGTAAGGCAGGCCGAATGATCTGAGTTTACATTCTTGTTGAGTTTGGTGACTCAGAGCTGAACAATTTTCTCTTCCACTGCAGTACCCCAAACTCAAAAGGTCACACTTGATTAAATCACAGGTACTAAAATACTATATATAATAGCTGTGGTATAGGAACAAACCACACAAACACACAACTGAAATTGAAGAGAGGACGGTGACTAAAATGAGATTAGGAAGTGTTAAGGGTAAACTGAAATGAGAGGGTCTGAATGTTTAATGAGCAAATTCAATCCGACAGCACTCATTAACAGTGTGGATGTGATGGGTGATTGAAATTTGTACAAGTATGGGCACTGTTACTATAGATGATGGGCCCAACTCAAAACCGCACCTTGAGTCCTGTACCTTTCCAAAGAAGCCTACATCTAGACCTTGGCTTCCCAACATTTTATCGAGTCAATCTTCTGACACTCAATATAATTATGTCCTTATTGAAATTACTATACATCTGAGATCTACTACCCATCATCAAATAAAAAAGCACAAAAATAAAAAGAAATAGTATTACAATTCATAAACAAAAACATCAAAACAGGAGTTTAACATTGCATGACTGACTAGCAGGTTCTAGTTCCAGTCAGTGTGCAGGAGTTTAGAAATTTTCTGGTAAATCAAGTGATTACAAAGATCACTTACAAACTACACAAACTAGTTGCTTTATGTATCCATTTCTCCAGAATAAATATGGTTGCCAAAATAAGGATTGTGGAACTTGGCTTGTTTGGCTTGATTAAAACAAACTCTGACATCAGTTCTTTATTAGTTTTCTTTATTTCTTATTTTTTCAGTTCTGACAAAACAAACTAAAGTACTAAAACTACAAGTAGGAACACCCTAAACTACAAGTGAAACTTGCATTCTTGCTAAGTTTCACTGGGTGTCTAATAAACCACTAGAAATCATAATTTCATCTCACATACCAGCAAAGACATTTACAGGACAGGACAAAAGATGGTTTGAGATAAGGCCATGAGGTTAGGCGGGACCACTGTTAAAGTGAAGGGTGTCAATCACACCCAGTAATCCCAAACGTATGGTACCTGGAAGGCCAGTTGATTGGAGAGACGGTGTCTCCGTCTGAATCTGTCTGAAGGGACCATTGGTTGGATGACTGACTACAGGAGATATATTAGTTGAAAAACACCCAGAGAGTGAACCACTCAAACATTTGGAAGTAGAAAAAGAGGATAAAAGGTCTTTAGGAAAAACGGTTTCTGTAAAAAAGTATGGCCTCAGATAACTTACAGTATGAAAACTGAGCTCAGCCTACAGGGAATTGGGTTTTAAAGGCGAAGTCCTCATTTATTCACTTTAAGTAACCAATCAAACTTCATGCTGACATTATGAATGTGCTCTGGGTATTTCCTGAATATCACTCTTTATCATAATCATTTGTAATTTGTTTTGGCTTGATGTTGGGAATTTTAATTCTGCTGGAATCTTTTGTTGCTTAATTTGGCACACACTTTAAATCCAACGCGTCACAGAGCACTGACCCCTGCTATAAAGAATCCATTGCCAAAGAACATTAAAGGTTAAAGCTAATGGATGATATGTTATGCTAAACAGAGCCCACCCATCTTTAGGGAGCTGTAGAAACACTCCAAACACTACGCAAGCCAAATATTGAAGGCTTTCTTTAGGGGGAAATACCTGTGAAAGACAGATTCAGGGGAATACCGGCCAACATTCTTTCCAAGAAAGGAAAGGAAAAATGAAGAAAATGAAGACACTGACACATTAAGAAACATCTATCATGAATAGAAGACTCACCCGTGTCTTTGGAGGATGCTGTGAGCCTGCTGCTCAATAAACAGATCACCAGGAGACGCTCCCTGTTTGGGAGAGAGCATCATGCTCCTTCGGCCTGAATTGGGTGAGCTGGGAACTCCCATCATCCCTGGCTCCCTTCCTGGTACCCTTGCAGATCCAGACACATCCATATACGCAGATGGGTCAGGTGCAACCCCTCCACCTCCATGTAATCGGTCACGCTCCTGTGCCCTCCTCTGGTTCTCCAGATTCATCATTCTTTCACGTTCTGAGATGGAGTCTGTGCGCTCGCGGCTGTACTCTGGACTGGAGTGATAGTCTGAGCTGCTCTTATCCACATGATGGCTGGTGGTGTAAGCATTTTGCTCCACTCCATCTCTCCCTTCTGATTTTGACCTGTAGTGTCTGTCTAAACCATCAAGCTCTCTGGAGGGTCTGGAGAAGCGAGTTGTATAGTCTGTTTCCATCTCCTGATCTAGAGAGATGCCATAGCGCTCTGCTAACTGACGGCGGCGTTCAGCCTTGTAGCGTGCAATCCTTTCTGCTTTAGAGTCCAGCTCTGCCACATGAGAGGAGCCAGTGCTGAAGACAGACTCCGGGTGGACTGCGTGACTTCTGGATGGAACATCTGTGCTTTGTGAACTTGGTTCACTTTTGCCATAGTGCTGAAGAGAAACTTAAAAGAGAGAAAGATGTTTATAATGCCATGTTTAAACACAATGAATGTTTATATATTTTGCCACTTTGTGGATTAATACTGAATGTGTGTCACTGTTTTGATATATGGTTAAGAATAAAGCAATATGCTGGTGTTAAACTGCATTGCTTCAATGCACTACTGCATTGGGCTCACACATACACTCTGCATTTTTACTACTTCAAAACTGTTAATAAGCCGTGGTGGGCATTTTTATGTCTCGTGCTGAACGCAGTCGACCAATCACAATAGACTGGGTCATTGGACCAATCAGCACAGATTTGCCTCACGCTAAGGAGCGGTTTGGTAACAAATGAATCGCTGAACGAATCATATGAGAGTCGTTGGGAAAATTAGGTAAAAATAAATGCATATTATAAGACAGTATTTTTTGACCTTGCATGTATATCAGATTGATGTTGAAGACCCCTAAAAGTAAAATATGACCCTTTTTAACGCATTATAGGGCCTCTTTAATAAAGAAAAAGCCTATTACATAATAATAACAACTTCATAATTCAATAAGATATGATATGGTACAATAAGATACGATACAATAAACATAAATAAAACATTTTTACTTTAAAAACCTTAGATATGATTTTTCAGTCCATATACATGGTAATTATAATTCTTCATGAGGATACATTTTTAAAAACATTCAAAGTGCTCTCAGTACAGAAATCTTGTCTAAAAGTCTTTTTAAATTTCACATTCTAATAAAATATGTTTTATAGTGTGGGAAGCTTGACAGTGGTTGCATGTTGCTGGTGCATTATTCTATAATAATAACAAGTGAGTTAACCTAGAGAGTGACCAAGTTGGCATCTACAGTAGTCAACATTTAAAGAGAATCTGAAAATGTATGTTTTTTTACATTTTCACATTATGATAAATCTATTAAAATGGCTTAGAATGGCTTAACTTGAAGTGCTGTAAAAAATTAAAAAATTAGTTTATGATATGTTGAAATATGGCAACAACGTCCAACAGTGGTTCTAACATAGAAATTTCTAATTTAAAACTTTATTTATAATTAATAATTTTGTTGTTTGATATTATTTAATTGGTGTTGCAGTATTATAAGCTTTAACACAGAACTTATAAATTACACCTTAAATATATTTTTTAACAACTCATTCCAACAGCTTTCATTTACTCCATTCTTCTTTGCTGAATATTATTAAAAATGAACCTAATATTGTATTATCATGTATACAACATACAGTAAATATAAATATTTTCTCCAGTAAATATTATAACAAATAACAAGTCTAATACATATAGGTGCATCAGGATAATGTAGCTACTAGCTAACAATGTTTATATATATTTTACTATACTAAGCCTGTCGTATATGAGCTAACTTATCTGAACTGTCTCTGTCAAATGTCCAGTCTGCATCATTCTCATGGTCACTAAAACACATCCTCACTTTTATCTGCAGGAACAGCCAGTTCTTTTCTTTACTTCTTTCACTTACCATAGAACATGGTGGTGCTCGCTAATACACTGTTCCCTGTATTTATATCTATTCAAAAGTAGTATTGCCATTAAAACTAGATTTTATCTATAATGCAAATGCCATTAACACATGACTAAACAAACACTATATTACTAGCTTTCATGTTGTTATTGTTACAACTTTAAAGATCACAGCTGACCTTGCTAGCTAGCTAACCCATTGCAATATTGCACGTTCCACCATTGTACAGTGTTGCAATTTGGCAACACATAAAATTTTTTGTAAATCGATCAAATGTATAATTTATTTATTTATTTATTTTTTATTTTTTTGTGAATGAGTCATCATAACTTACTGGAGGTGAGGTTTCAGATTTTTTTTATGGATCTGACATAATTTGATCCTTTGTTTTTATTGACGTTTACTGTTACGTTTCACGTATGTTTTGTAGTATTTTTTGTTGTTTTCTGCTTTGCGCTCTTCTCTCTCTCTCTTGTTGTGGTCCTATCCTGTTTCAGGTGTGCTACCATTGGTCGGGTGAGCTGTCATTCACCTTCGTCACTAAATCGGCGCGCCAATAAGGATCGGGTCCACGCAGTATAAAACCGGTGCGCTTGCGCTGTTCTGGAGGAGCGCTTGGCCTGCCAATCTCCTCACTTGTGTCGCCCGGACTGTTTGTTTGTTTGTTTGTTTGTTTCGCTTGATTTGTTTGCGAGTGCTGTTTTCTAGTTTTCTCCCTGTTTATCCTGATTTATCAGTTAAACTTGTGCTGCTCTTGTTAATGTATAGTGAGATTTTGAACGATCTTTATGAGAATTAGATTACCTGAGAACTTGTTTTGCTAATGGCTAACAGTGTGTACTTTACGAGAATTCTAGCATTTCGAGCAGCTTAGTAAAATTTTGTATTGGTTAGTTTTTGGAGTTGTTGTCACATGTGTAATTATGTTTGGGAGTTAAGAAGTTTAGTTAAGCTACGTGCTGAAGATTACGGTTTTGTTTCTACATTTTTCTTTGTTCAGTTAGTTTAGTGGGTTGGGGTTTAGTTAGTTCATTTTGTTATATTTATTTCTTTGTTTTGGCAACACTCCTATTTTTCTTTATTTAATAAAATTGTTTAAAATTACATTTATCTTTCATCTTGTATTCATTGTTTGACATTATCCATTAATAAATACTTACTTTTTGTTTCACTTATCAAGCGTATGCGTCTTCTCCTTATTCACCCAGCATCAATAGACTCACTGATTGTTACGTATCATCCCTTTAATTATTTAACATCATAAACACGTAACATAATTTATTTATTTATTTTTTTTGTGTGTGAATGAGTCATCATAACTTACTGGAGGTGAGGTTTCAGACTTTTTTTATGGATCTGATATAATTTGATCCTTTGTTTTTATTGACGTTTACATTTGCATTCAGCAACTACTCACAATAAACGCCAGTCTGTCAGAACTCGCACCACAGAAAAACACAGCATGTCATGTGACTTAACCAAAGCACATCATTGGCTAGTCTAAGATCTTCTCTTTCCAAAAAAAATTCATGTGTGTCTTTAAAAACAGTGGCAGGGAAATTAACACAAGTATCATGTTGCGATACGGTTACACCGTGCAGTAGAGGGTTAAATCATCCATGCTTGTTAGTTTTTTTTTATTTAATTTTTTTGATCCACTTTGTGATCCACAAATGTTAACTATTATAGTATAAACAGTTTGGTCATGCCTGACATCAAAAACTAAATTTGAAGAGTGTTTCCATGTGTTTGGATTGATCTCTTGTGAATAATCTCATAAACTGTATACTACAATACTTTAAGTAACCTAGCACCAGCTAATTAAACCAAACTTTTAATCATGATGTAATCAATGATGAAATCTATTACAATGTATATAGGATATACATGTATATAATTAAAAAGCATTTCCCACCTGTACAGGGGTCAAAGGTGTCTGCTGCACGGGTATATCTTGGAGTGTCCTCCTCCAGCAGTCGATTAGAAACTAGACCACCACAACCTGGAAGACTTTGGAGAACATCATTATCGATTCCTTCCAGGCGCCGTGCAATTCGCTCCTTCCTATAAACAGAAGCGGTCAAAGAAATACAAGTCAGGATCATTCTTTAGCTAGGGAAAAAATTAATAGCATAAAGAAGCATTCATATTATCACACCCTAGAACCATTTCACACCATCAATGCTGAAAACAGATGTGCTGTTGAATTATTTAGTGGAAATTGAGTTTCTCTTCTTGCAATGAACAGAAAAAAATATTGGAATTATTATTTTTTTTAATTAAAAAAATAAGAAACTTTTTTTTTTAAGTTTATATTTTATACAAATGTAAACATCTATATGTCATTTTTGATCAATTTTAACATGACCAAGCTGAATAAAAGTAATACTTTATTCCAAAAATAAATGTACTGACAAAATGTACACTACACTTGAACATGTACAGTGAGTTCATTATACACCATTTAATTATTTTGCTATTTTTGGGTATGCATGCTTCTTTAAAGATTAAAAAAGCATGCAGCTTGAAACGTGTAGTGAGAGTGAACTTAAAATATTTTCTGGCAATAACAGCATGCAGACAAATTTGTGATTCTGTTATTCTTGCCGAACACCTGCGTTAACTGAACTTTGGCTGTGCAGGCTTTAGGAGAATGATTTAACTTCTCACCTGTTCATGTCCCAACTCTGACTTGTGCTTATACTTTCAAAACGTTTCCTTAATTCTGAGACTAGAGAAAAACAAAGGCAGAGTTAGAATAAGTGGGTAAAAATCACAATCTACAATACACACTTTAAAGATTGGTTGTAATCTAATCCCTACATAATTCAGATGTTCTACTGTTTAATACCAATTCATGGTCCACGATGCATCTCATTATGTATTGCAATAACCTTTAAAAGCATGTTCAATAGCATCATAAAACTTCCAATATTAAGAGTTATTTGGCAAAAAATATAATTTTCCTAAAGTGAGGGCTTTCCAAAAAAAGCATCAACTCAATCCCTACTATTTGCTTTTCAAATAAAATAGATCTCCTTTATGATCCTAACATATTACCACACTATTGCCACATATGAAATTAATCCAATAATAGCAGAAGTCACAGAAGTTCAATGTGTTTTCTGAAACAAAAGCTGCTTCTACACAAGTCTTCTGACATTATCTACAAGCATGGCTGACTGCATTTCCACAAAAGTTAGCCAATCATTGGTTTATGCTCAGAGACAGTTTTTCAGCAAAAACCTTGGAAATACAACACTCAACTGTGTCCGGTCACCAGGACACCAGTGAAGTGATTAAGAGGAGACTCGTCTTGGGCTAATGTGTACACACGGCACACTTGTTTTTAACAATGTTTCCTCACCATGGTCTCTAGGATTCAGAGCAAAGATCTGGGTGGTGCATTGAAAAGAGTCCATTCCCACAGGGAAGAGTTACTCTTTCTGCTACAAGTAGTGAAGTAAGCCTAAAATGTGTCTAACTGACACACAAAAAAAAAACAAAAAAAAACTGCTTAGCTATATACTTCAATACACTAAATAATAAAGCATGTGTTTTCAGGATTTGTCATGTTTTAGATGGAATTCCCAGTTAGAATGGAAGAAAAACAAACAATGGTGTGAATCTGACATTGGACAGAGCTCATTCAAACAAACCCAGATTACGCAACTAAGTGCTTCATGCCAATGAAGTGAATGAAAAACAGAAATAAAAAAATAAAAAAATGTAGACTTAAGCCAAGACTAACCACTTTAATGAGTTTTTTTTCTTCTAGCAAAGAAAACACCTACTGCTATCCACATATTGACAAACAAAACACACACACAAAAAAAAAAAAACGAGAAGGAACAATGTGGACTTGATTACATCCATCAGGAACTAAGTGGATGGTGGTAAGTGAGTGTTATGTACCTGAATGTGGCCAAAACAAAAGCAAATTTGGTTAAACAAAATTAAATAAAAACTATATAAAAAGACTAATAGCATGTGTTGCCTAAAAGTGACACCAGTAGACGAAAAAGGCATTTTAGAAGAATGTGGTAATTAGTTTGTGCTAAAAGACAAAATCCAAGACTCAATGTTTCCATGCATAGATGAAAATTTATTTTATGTGAAAAACAGGAATATCGCATAAAAGATGTGTGAATAAAGCAGCGTTTCCAGCGTTATATCAAAGAGAAAAAAAACGTCACTTCCTGATTAACTGGAACCAAATATCAAAAGTAAAAACGCAATTTGCTGCGGTAGAAAAAATTGCATGAATCTTTTCTTCATTTAATAAATTACTTGCACCTTAGAAGACAAAATTTTGACATGCAATGAATGCATGGTGAGGTTTGAAAGCATGAGACATGGAGCACAGACTCTCATGACAGTTCTGGAGGTGAAATGGTAAATGTTTTTTTTAATGCACATACTGGAATTTATTTGGTAAAAATGTTTTCATCGTATTTTATGGAGATCTTTTCTTATCGAAAAAAAAAGTTTATCCTACTCAGTTATGTGCTTACATTTTTATGCGCATTTGCAAAACGTATGCGCATCAAGGCATTTTCATCAACCGATTTTTTATGCGCATAACCAAAATGCACATAAAAATAGGTGGATAGAAACATACTCATTCACACCTTGAGAAAACCACATGCACTGAGAATGGAAAAAGGTCTTTAGAGTTATTTTAATTAGTCAAATATAAAAAACTAAATCTATAAAAAATATGAAAATACAAATCTAATCAGAGCCCAAACATGTGCATCACAGCACAATAGTATTTATTTCCACTCACGGCCACATAACAGTAACCAACTTGCTTGTCCATTTTGGTTCTTTCATATTTTTGTCAGTCTTTCATATTTTAGAAGCTCAAACATGTAAATATAAGCATGTTTAGCAAAGCACAAAGCATTGTTTTCAGTGTATTCTGTGGTAAAAAATGATGAGTTCAGATGCAAAAACCTCTAAAGGCCATCTGAAATTTTCTCTTATAATGAACATTTTTTTTAGCCTCCTATGGCCATGTCAGATTTTTTCACTTTAGGGCAATGAAAAGAACTTATTTGTCACTATAAAGGTAAAATTAATGAGTCTACACACAGGAATAAGAAAATATTCGGAAATTTCAGAAGGAAATATCAAATGGCATTTAGAGGTTTTTGCATCTAAACTCTTCATATATTTTTTTATGCACATTTTCAAAACTTATGCACATCATGGCATTTCCATAATTTTTTGCGCATATCCAAAATGCACTTAAAAATAGGTAGATGGATACATACTCATTCACACCAAAAGAAAAAAAATACATGCACTGAGAATGGAAATAGGTCTTCAGTTTTATATTAATTAGTAAAATATAAAAAAACGAAATATATAAAAAGTATAAAAAGACAAATCTAATCAAAGGCTAAACATGAGCATTCGCTCATCAGCACAATTTATAAAAACTAAAAGACTGAATATGAGGTCTGCATTTTATTTTTGTGCTTACCAGAAACAGGCTGATCCTGTGGGAGCCCCATAAAATCCTTTTCACTAATTTTCTAGACTAGCGTACAGTACAGTCCCTTACACAAACGCATCTAGGCACTCTTTTCACACAACGCTCGCATTTTCAGGGCCAGTAAACTAAACAACTTGCCCAACAACAGGTGGCCCCCAGCAGACCAAATATAGGTCAGTGGTGTCCCATCCCCCCAACATAATGACCCCATGTGTCCAGGATCCATCAAGGCAAAGCAATAACCTTGTCTTGAAGCAACTTGTAAACAATTTATCATCAAGCATCATGACTAGGATCAAATACTATTTATTTTCAACTCACATCCACAAAACAGTGATCAAACCTACTTGATTTTTCTTTATGGCCATTCAGGTTAAACACATTTATCTGAAAATAGTCTCTTTATAGCAAATATTAAATGTATATTTGTGACATAAAACAACTCCTGGAGCTGTTTTGACAGTCTATTACATTTTAGAAGCTCATGCATGAACATAAGCATGCTAAGCCCAGCACATAGAATTGTTTTTCAGTAAAATCTGTTGTAAAATATATAGTAGTGATGCTCCGATCTGGATTTTTGCAGCTGACACAGAGTACTGGTTCCTTGTCATGTTGATCGGCCATTGCTTTGAGTACCAATTCTAATGCTTCAAGCTTTATTTTTGTATTACGCACATTTTCCCTCTAAATATGAACGTTAAGAGAAGATCTTGCCTTACCTAACGGAATAAATGAAGGATGCTGCATATAATACCTTAAACAAGTGTCTTATAACCATTTAAGTGTGAACATGTCATGACAAAAAAGGCAACTTTAAAGAAAATAATTAATTCAATATTATTACGTTGGCTCTGTCCCATATATTCATGTAACAAAAAAAAAAAAAAAAACAACAACAAAAATTATATATATATATATATATATATATATATATATATATATATATATAAATATATAAATAAAAAAATAAAAAAAATATAAATAAATAAATAAATAAATATATATATATATATATATATATATATATATATATATATATATATATATATAAATAAACAAATATATATAAATAAACAAATTTTATATATATATATATATATATTTGTTTTATTTAATAATTCCAGCCAGCTTTTAGTAAACTTGTACTCACAACATGTTGTCTTGCTTACTCACTTTCGCTGCCATGATTTCTAGGTATTTTAACAAATCTTTTTTTGTTTGTTTGGATTTTATCTTGATTGAGCGAGTAAAACATAATCTTTTTTTTTTCAAATGGGTAAAGTTCAAATACACTATAAAGAGCACTTAAAAACAGAGAATGTGTCATATTTTGAAAAAATTGTGCTGTTTTGTTTTTCTTGTTTGATTTATTTATAGGTAATATTCATATCCAATGTACTGCATCAGCAAGAACTGCATGCAAATATATATATATAACAATACCATTTTAGTTTTCAAATCCTCCTTGTGGTTGAACTAACAACTTTTATATTAAGAGTCTCCATCAGAAAACTACAAAAGTCAACTGCAGTTTGTGAAAGAACTCTCAAGCTACTTGCTTAGTAAGTGTCTAACTTGTATATGATTGTTGAAGAATTCTATACTTACCCTTGGGTGTATTCCCCAGCAGACTAACATCTACTTCTTTGTTGGCTCCCTCACCTTTCTCCTCAAACGAGAACTCTTTCTGAAAACTGCAGAGGGAGAAACCAACTTTGAATTTCAATTTATTTTGCATATAAATGTTTATACCAGAAACAAGAAGCCTCTGAACTGACTGCTTTTGTTGAAGCAGCATCTGAAAAGCAATCTGAATGTTGGCAGATCTCACAGGATTTCTTCCATAAATGTGAAATTCAATATATTCACTTAAAATGTTATTTTCCACAAAAGAAAAAGTTAATTTTTTAATCAAATATTCGTAACAAGGTCAAATAATATTTTTCCTGATGACAAATAAGTTCACCACAGAGAATTATTTGAAAAATAAATCTATTTATAGAAACACAACACTTTAAATGAACATCTCAACATATACTGCATTTTTAAATGCATAACTACATTATTGGTATGAGTCTGTACACAAGATATTTAAAGAATCATGACACAAACGATCATATTTGAACTGATGTTTTGACAGTACTTGACTTTATAATACTGTTCATTTTTTAATGCTACTGGAACTAACTAGGCTTGGTAGTTATTGTTGCACTTTTGTTAGAATTTTATTTATTATATTGTTGTTTTTGGGTGCAAGCTACAAGAATAAACGAATAAAATAAATTTACTTGCATTGTAACTGTGTATAAGTTTTCAAAAGAGCAATTGCAGATTAAGAATCCATTTGTTAACTAGATTAAAACATCTGGTCCTATTTAAAAAAAAAAAAAAAAAAAAAAAAAAAAAAAAAAAAATATATATATATATATATATATATATATATATAAAAACACAGAGTTAAGGAATGAAAAAAAAATCAATCTGTAAGCATGTTTTAATTATTAAAAGAGAAAAATAAATATGCATGATGGCTGTGACCAAAAAAAAAAAACTTTACAGTATACAACATTGTACTAGAAATTCTGTGAATTCTAAAACTTCAGAAGCCAAAACAAATAATAACAGTCAAAAAGGATGAGATTTAGGTCTATAAAATATATTTTATTTATTATTTTTGCATTTATGAGTAAAAAAAAAAAAAAAAAAAAAAAAAAAAAAAAATATATATATATATATATATATATATATATATATATATATATATATATATATATATATATATATATAAATCATGAATTTGACATTTCTTCATTACAGATGTGGCAGATGTGAAATTATACAGTAACTTATGTGACTTTCGTAATTCAAATATTATTGTTTAAAGGGCACCTACTGTATGATGCAATAGGAAGCTATTTGGACAGAACTGTGTATGTATAGTATGTCGACTGTCATGTTGGAGTGATATAAACACAAGTATCTTTTTTTAAATTTCCTAATGTTAAAATAGTGACATTTTAACAGTTTAAAGAGTGCACTTGCAAAGTAAGTGGAAATGAAACATCCATTCCAACTCTCGATGGTCAGCTCCACCTCAAGAATGAGTTTTACAAGTTTAAAACAGTGTGTGTATGTGACAGTAAAGTGACAGTAAAATCGCTATTTAATTTATCACCACAGGTACATAGTGTCAGTACAATTGTAAAAGACAATGCTTCAATCCCAGTTTGTGGATGTTAAATCAGGTTTATTTTGTACACTTACATAACAGATATCCATACAGCAGTGCATATGACATGTATTCTGTCACACTGGCTATGCAAAAACAGTGCAAAGTTAAACGTGTGTGTGCTTGTGTGTTTGTCTTACTCTAAACTTTGTAACGGCATTAGTGTGACTGACCGTTGCAAAAAGGCTTAAATAAAAACCCCCAACAAACACAAATAACCATGGTGAAAAATCTTACTGTAGTATTTGTCATAAATGGAAGATCTACTTGCTTCGTGTCTGTCACTGTGCTGTTTATCTGACATGAGATGCAGCCGTAGAAGGCTACACGCATCAGAGCAATAGATCTCTATGGCTCTGACTCACATGTAAGAACGGTGGGTGGGGGGGAACAAGCTCATTTGCATTAAAAGCACAGACAACAAAAACAGCTACAGTGTCCTTAGACCTCAAAAAGTCCCATATTCAGAAAGGTAAATAAAAACAAAAAAAAACTGATGGGTATTTTTAGCTGAAACTTTACACACACATGCTGGATTTATCAGGGGGTAAAATACAGTAGGTGCCCTTTAAATTTCTGTTGTTGCAGATCTTTTCCAGTGAGCTTATAAAATCAATCAAACCAAAAGTTACATAAAAACTTTGCTAAATTATGACATAAAAATGAGGATCTTACCTAAGAGCTCTCCGTTGCTTGGTATTGCCAACTTTAGGGGCTGTTTCTCTGGTGAAGCCTGTGCAGACAAAAGAAAGAATAATATTCAGACCACATATACTCCTCCTGGTGACAGAAGTGATCAGCAAAAGACGTTTCAAAGGTCCCATGTGAAGGCCAGGAATGAAAACAATAGTATCCATTTCATGGATGTCAACATGGTGCCGTGTCCACAGTTGAAACGACTTGTTTCTGTATGCACACATCAGTATATCTGTATGCACACAGAGTCTAACGTCCAGGCTCATGTGCTGAATGCTGCATTCAGTGGTTTTGTTAGTCAAAGTGTCCAGTATGTAATGCATGAAGTCATCTGAATGTTATCTGAAGCATTACATTATGCACAAAAACACTTCTTAGACCACTTCTCTTAAAAGCCACCATTATTTTCAAGAGTAAGCATAAAAAAATAAAATAAATCTACACAGAATTTATATAAAATACACTTTTTTTTTTTTTACCAAACTTTGAGGCTTATGTATTTTTACTGACACATTATGTAAAGTAATCTAGGGCAAACATCTCAAGAAATAATACATTAAATAAATAAATAAATAAATAAATAAATAAATAAATAAATAAATAAATAAATAAATAAATAAATAAAAATGATAATTATTTAAATAAAAATAACTTAAATGCAATTTCATGTTATTTATTTACACTATTTAAATACATGATACATTTTTATTAATTTGTAATAAAGTCCCTTTAAAACAAAAAAATAAGTATTAATACACTGTGATAGATTGGTTTATGAGATAATTTTATTCAAGATCAAGAATTTAAAAACACTAAGAAATTCTGTACAACACAAAATATTACTATACGCATATATAATATATTTATCATGATGTAATTACTGTACATCATGATATGATGTTAAGCCAAATGAAAAAATATATAGTATTGAAGCAAAATCAGTGTAAAACATAGTGGGGTTTAACTGTGTATTCTTACTGTTTTTTAAAGTTAATAAAGTATTCTAGGTTACAGTCACTTATTTCTAGACATAATGAATATTTGTATAAATATTATTGTATAAGGATGCAGCGCTTATAGATTTTAGTTGTATGATTATTGTATGAGGAATAATCACAGTTTCATGGTTATTACAATTATAATGCATTCATTCATTTCAAGTAAGGAAGTAAGGAAGGAAGTAAAGAAGGAAGGAAGGAAGGAAGGAAAGAACGAAAGAACGAAAGAAATAAGAAAGAAAGAATACCCTTTGATTTGGCCCGCCATCCTATCTAAGAATAATAGTTAGAGGAAATGCCTTTAAAAGAAATTGTCATTTCAAATTTAACATAACCTTTTGTTTGTTTAATTGTTGAGCAAGTAAAAAAGCAAAATGAAATAAAATGTTTAATTAAGTTGAATTAAATGCACAAGACATTTGCGAGCAAATCAAGGCAAAGGCAGATACAGCTTGACTAGTGTATTCAGCATTGATCTCCATCAAGTTATAAATGGAATTGTTAATGTTTTGACTGTAAGAAGTGAATTATAAAATGCACTAAATTGTATAGTTATTAATACAAATAAAGTCATTTCTTCCACTTATTTAATACAGTCAGAAATTAGGAAACTATCATGTAACTTTAATGTGATAAAGTTGGTTTATTTAACTTTGGCCAACCACTCTTAATCAAGTTTGGTTTTTAGCCCTTCTTAAGAAAATGTTTGGGCACCCCTGTATTAATCTAATGTAAATCTGAGCTACACATTAGCATTAATACAAGTGTTAGAATAGCATTACTAAAAGTATTTCCCTTTTAAAGAGAACAAATGTAGTCAAAGACTGCTTCTCCTTGGAGTAGACATGTGTATATTCCATACGAAGAATTAAGCTGATTGGTCCAGTTCTTGTCAGGTGACTTGTAGTGAGCTTGTGCCATTCTTTCAACTAGATGGGCCTGGAAAACATTTACGTCACTCCCAATATGCACACAAGAAAAGAAATAACCAACTTGCGTGCTCCAAAAACAACATGCGAACAGCCCTTAGTTAATAGCCTGAGCCATAGTTAATCTAGCGTGTGTGGGTATTAGGTAGTAGAATTTTAAACTAGTGCACAGTTGGTGTAACTTCGTTTAGTTGCAGCAGTTTTATTACAGAAACACGTTGTTGAGAAGCTTTTTAATTACCCATGACGAATTAAAGCGAGGTTAACAGTGAATTGGTTAATTGTTGCATTCATATATTGTGCTTGAAATAAAACAAAAAAATAAAACAAATAACATGCTGAGAACACCCACTCCTGTATTAAAAAAAGGATGAATAAATAAATTCACTCTCATGGGGTCAATTTAACATAAATGCTGTTTCCCTATTTGCTTGAATAATGCAATAAAATGACTAATACTGGTGTTGTTGTTCAGGTGTGGCATTAATTCTATGAGGAACACATGGAGAGCTGACATCTGAGCCTCAGAAGATCGGAAGAGCCGAACATGTGTTTCCACTTTACCCACAGATCAATAGCCTGACCACACATTCACCCACACAGACCAAACGCCCTGTTTCACATCCCAAAAACCAATATTCACACAGGTTAAATATCTTTCTTTCCAAACACTAGCTGAGAAGAGAAAGTGAATGAAAGAGTCAACCAATAGACTGTTTTGGTACGCAGTGAGTTTTCACAGCTGGGGCGAGTATCTGCTAAAAACATTCCTCACTACCTAAAAATCTCCTCTCACTTCAGAGTCATAGGGCAGGGGACAAGGCAACATCAACTCCAGTGGGATGGAAAGAAAGTACAGGATTGTTTTGGAAGGAACGTGAGAAGTAGGGCCCAATGAAATCTTTTTTTCCCCTCAAATACCATTTGATCTTTTCTCAAATTCAGTTTATTCAGTCGCAATATTTTAGGACTCTCTGCATCTTAAGAGCATTTTTACTTGAAATTGGTAACTTTGGGTCATCCTCATCCCAGGATAAACAGAATCCTGGAATATCTACGGTATAATCATGTTTCACACTACTTATTATGGCATATCTGGGGTTTACAAATGATCTTGCAACAGATGTTTTACACTGTACATTTCTAAACCTGGGTTAGCTTTGTAATTTGCATATTTGCAACATCACAGTGTCTGATTGGAAGAACAGCAAAAAATCATCCCGACAATCATTTCTGAAGATTTTACTTAATGTAATCTCTCACTGGCTGCTGTTTACACCATGCAGATATTGTGACGTGATGTGTGTAACGTCGTAGCTCAATTACTGATTGGCTGTCTCTGCAGCAACAAGCAAACACTGCTCCTTTTCACACTGAACAAACTTAGGATGAACACCACAAATCCTGCTCTGGAACAGGGTTTTATAACTCCGGGTAAAACATGGTGCTAACACCACTTTCAAAACTACAGGTTTGAAATGGGTCTTTGTCTAGGGTTATTACAAAGTATAAGTCACTCATATAGTTTTAAACGGGGAAAGTGTAACGGTCAATACTGCGAATGACGCCCTGCCTTCTAGTACAGGAGCCAATCATTGATTGCTATAGACGGACGATTCTCTGGGGGAGAAGTCTTAACCATACGTGTGCTTTTATAACAGTTTTTGTGGTCAACAAACACACTGGAATCTCAGGGCCTACTCACACTATGCTATCCGAACCATGCCCAGGCCCATTTCCTGGATCGTTTAAGAAGTGTGAGTGCACTGAATCAGGCTCAGGCGCGGTTCACTTGGGCTTTGGCGCGGTACGCTTGTGTGTGTAAATGCAAAGTGCGCCAGAGTCCAAAACTGAAAGCGTGAGGTGACGTTTAAGGGACTGTTTGATATGGATTTATTAATCATTCTTACTGTTTAATGAACGCAAACTGTCGTAGTTTATTAAAGATGCAAAACCCTGACTAGGCACGAAAGCTGCACCTTCAGAAAACCTCCTAATTTCTGCAGCATGAGGACTTTATGATTGTTTATGAGCGTCAAAGTGTTTGATCTGTTCGCCTAAATATTTGACTGCATGTCACTGCATGTCAAACGACATAACAAAAGAAATTTCCACTGTGCCAAGCGAGAGCGATTCTGACCTGTGCATCATCTATGACGTAAGTGTGCCTTGGCCTGAATGTAATGTGAGTGCGGGCTGTCAAGGGAGACGGGAGGGGGGACGAGCGTGCTTTGGCCCGGTTTAAGGCAACAGTTCATAGTGTGAGTACACCCTCCGAAAATAATTGCTTCACAGACATAAAAAAAACATAACCACATCAAGCCTAAAATCTGTACTTTTAAATGAACCCATCACACTTTTCTTGTTTTGTAATCTGTATGAAACGAACCCAAGGTACAATCCATCCTGTCAAACAGACATCACATATCAGAAGCAATTACTCACATACTTGTGAACAGTCACTTTCGTTTCTGGAGGAGATTCACCATCAAAACCAAGTTGTGAATTACTTCAGAAGAGCAGCTTGATCAGACGATCATTAAGCTGCGGTCACACTGCATTTTTCTCCCCTTAGACTTCCATTTTTACACACATGAATGCGCCAGACCAGAAACACAAGCTTGTGCGACAAGTTTTGCATTGGAAAGTTCAAGCTTGGTGAACTCTTTTAATAATAAAATTTTGGCCTTTTCAGCGCCTCCTTTGCGCTTTTCATTATCAATTTTTCATCTCTCGCATATCTCTTAAATGACTTTGCTGATCAGCAAGGTTCTGCTGTTGGAGGAGTTGAATGATAGGTACTGTACTACATCATTAACCTGCAGGCTGCATTTTGCTCACAGGGCTGCGAGAAAATAAATAAAAGGAGCGGAGCTGCAGCAAAATAATAAATAAAAAGGAGTGAGGCTATGGTCAAATAAATAAATAAATAAATGAAAAAAGTTCGACTGCTGAGAGTGCACGCAGCTAGGGACACCAGCCCTCGCGGCCAAAAATAAAAAAATAAAAACGTACCGGCCCACCATGTATTCTTCCGGTCCTCCTGATTAGCCAATACGGGCCTGCCACCGAGTGAAATGACTTGCCTTAAAGGGACTTTGGTTATAGGT